TTATATATTTGGTGTGTTCCTAACCCAATACCCTGGCCTATGACACAGATCGATGGGAGGAGGGGTCACCATTTTGGATTTTTTTTGGGAATGGGATTACCTCTGATTCATGTTTTTCACGTGCAGGAAGACCACTAGACTATTTGACACCAAGTTCCCAGCTTTTATTTAATATTAAACAAGGCTATGAACTGGAATAAATGCAAATATACTAAATAAATCATAAAAGTCTTAGGTATAAATTGAAGTGCAGGATAAACAGTTGTCTTGACAAAATAAAACCGAACCCAGTGTCGGGTCAGTTTTGGAGTAACGTCTTTATTTTTCCAGGGTTTTTTCTTTCCCTGCGTGTTTGCAGTAGGTGGTGGTCACGTTCCCTGGGGGGCGCTGGTGCCTGTGCCTCACACCTCTCAGTCCTTTTCCATCCTCGTTCCCATCCGCCTCTCCACCTCTTGATCCCCTCCCCCTCTGAAAAAGCCCTGTCTCCCTATTTCCCATTATCTCTTTATTTGCTCTTTATTTCTATCTTGGCTTTCTCATATAAGAGAAATTATGCAATATTTAAACATGTGTGTCTGATTTATTTCACTTAGACATTGTGGTCTCAAGGGGCATCCATTGTCCTATAAATGACTCAGGTTTATCCTTCTTTATAGCAGGGAAGTACTCCATTGTTCTTTATCCATTCATCTGTGGATGAGCACATGGGCCACTTCCAAGATTAGCTATTATGAGTTGTGCTGCAATAAACACGGGTATGGATGTGTCACTGTAATTCGATGTCTTTAACTCTTTTGGGAAAGATGCCTAGACAGGGAATTTCTATTTTTAACTTTTTGAGCAATCACCATACCAGTTTCCATAGTAGTTGTACTAATTTACATTCCTACTAACAATGTAGAAGTGTTCCTTTTATCCCTGAAGCCTCACCAGCATTTGTTATTTCACTTCTTGATGATGGCTATTCTTTCTGGGACAAGATGGAATCTCGTTGTTTTACTCAGAATAATATTTTTAAATAAATCACTTTAAAAGATTCTTCAAACCACTTTTTCAGTTTGTATTAACTCAGAGAAAAACTTTTTAAAAGTCACCTTGGACTGAAGACCAACATCAGTTTATATAGTGCTATTTCTTTTCATTGGCCTTACGGAGAAGTGGAGAGTTAATCAATTATGTTAGAATTTCTCTAATAAAATCTGTATTAATAATTACTTGGGGTAGACAGCCCAAGCCATGATCTTTCAACAGAACAAAATTGGATGTGGTTAGATTTTTCAGGGTGACTCAGTTTGAAACCAAGGAGTAGTCAAGGCTGTTTTTGTCAAATACAAAATCGATTCCACATGGGGTGCGTGGTGGCGCATGCCTGTAATCTCAGCACTTGGGAGAGGCTGAGACAGGAGAATCATTGCAAGTCTGAGCCAGTCTGGGCTACATGAATGAGTTCAAGGCCAGCCTAAAGTTCATAGTGAGACCCCGTCTCGAAAAGACCAAAAAAAAAAAAAAAAAATCAATTCCACAATGCATTCTTCCATCCTGGAAGTCCTTTCTCATTAATATTGGTTCTAGTTACTTAGATTTACTATGTGAGAGATTTTTACAATACTGTATTTCCAGAAGGTTAATGAGTCACAAGTGTTTAATATATATCCATGCATTTAACTGCTCTTTACTGAGCACCTACTACAGTAGCTGCTAGGCACTCAAATACACCAGGAACCAAGACACATAAAGTCCAAGCTTTATGGATCTCATGGTAGATAGCAACCATAGCAACATCTGATATCTAGCAATGAGAGCTTAAAAGAAACTTTAGTCCCTCAACCAAGGATTTATATTCTTTTCATCACTAAGGAAAATCTACTATCAATTTTTAAATCCCTCAATTTGACTCTGTTTTAACAGCAGATACAACTTATTCTCTGTCACTCTACTCTGCTAGCAGCAAATCTTTTTCAGTGCCTTCTCCTTTTTTTTCCCCCTTTTCCCAAATCTGGGAAGAGCTGGGAGTGCAGAGGCTGCTTCATGGTTGAGTCATCATTTGCTACATTATATAATAAATTTATAAATACTAACAGTGGAAAAATTAAATAGTGTATTGCGGGGAGAGGGGGCAGAATCCACTGTTTATCTCCTAGTCCCACAGGGTTTCCTCAGCCATGTCACCGGGGAATGGTCAGACCCATGAAGACCAGGAGAGAGCTAACCAGCAGTCTGACCAAGCATCTCATGATGATCTCTTTCTGTTCTATGGGAGACACCTAAAATTCTATACACAGACACCTCATTTTTTTACTTTAGTGCAAAATGTGTTAGCAGTTAACAATTGTTTGTTATACCACGGACCTACTATCTGCTGACAGTGGGACTGTGGCATCCAGTCCCGCAGGAGTAATTCTCCTGTGTTGGGCTCCTCCCCTACCTTGGGGGAAAAGACTGGACCAATATGTTATTTTCTGATAGAGGCATTAGTTTTTGTCCATTCGTATGAACTGAGGAGAGGAAGGCTGGCAGTTTATTCCTGAGTATGAGGAAGCTTGGACAGTTTATCTCTGTAAAAAAAGTACTTTTTAAAGAAGCATTTTACCCTCTTGTTTATGTTAGTATAACTAGATCAAAATCTATGCTAGTCATACTGTTAAATAAAACATAAGGCCAGGCATGGAGGCACAGGCCTGTAATCCCAGCACACGAGAGGCTGAGGCGGGAGGATCGATGCGAGTTCAAGACCAGCCTCAGCTACAAAGTGAGCTCAAGGCCAGCCTGAACTTCATAACGAGACCCTGTCTCAAAAAGACCAAAAATAATAATAGTAATAATAAAACATAAATTTGACAAGTAGTGGACATATTTAAAGAAAATTGAAGACATAACAAAGACATATTCAATATTATAAATGTTAATTCTTCCCAAATATATCTGAAAGCTTAACACACTTGAGATTTGACAAAATGATTCTAAATCTCCCCAGTAAGAAATTTATAACATACCACAGCAGTGGTGGGGAGCATCTCAGAAAAGGAGAACATGAGGAGAGCTTGCGTTATCACATATTTTAGCTACAGTAATTAAAACTACAGGTCCTGGTGCAAGGATGAACAGGTCACAGAAGTAATATATGGACAGACCAGTACATGCATGAAATTAGCATGTGCTGTTGTTTACAGATGTTGTAAATGAGGGTATGAAAAGGCAGGGTCTTTACAAAGTGACTAGGCCCTGAGGGCTTGTTTACCATGAATGGGATTGGGTGCCATTATTAATAGATTTGACAGAGGAGTTAGTCACCTTTATCCCTCTCCACTTTCTGCTGCGTAAGATCACCACACTTCTTCTGTCTGAAGGACAGCGTATTCCAGGCACCACCTTGGAAGCAGAGAGCAGCCCTCACCTAACATAAAATCTGCTAGCACCTTAATCTTGAACTTCTCATCCTTCAGGTTTGTGAGAAAATAAGTATGTCTGTCAGTCTGTCTTTATTCCTTTCTCTTCCTTCCTTCCTTCCTTCCTTTCTTCTTTTTCTTTTTTCTTTTTTGGTGCTGGGGATTGAACCTAGGACTTTAAACATGCTCAGCATTTGCTGTAACACTAATCCACATCCCCAGTCTGAATTACCCAGTCTCAGGTATTTTGTTATAGCAGCAAGAAAGGACTAAGACCATATGTGTGTGGGGGGAGTAGAACAGAATGGCAGGGGGAAAAGAACCACACAAATCAAAAAGTCAAAAAACAAACCTGGAAATATACCATATATATATATACACACACATATATATATATCTCACAGACAAGGTATATAAGTTATGTAAAAAAAATATAAAGATTCCTGGAAAAAGGGCCTGGGGATTTAGCTCAGTGGCACAGCACCTGCCTGGCAAGCACAAGGTCGTGAGTCTGGTTCCCGATACTGGAAAAAAAAAAAAAATCAAAAAACAAAGATTCCTGGAAAAGTAAATAAACTACATAAACAGGATAATTCACAAAATAAGAAAAATAGAGAACAAGCACGGGAAACATGTTCTATCTCACTTGCAATAAAAAATTGCTGATTAAAATAATGAAATAGTCCTGTATGGTGGTGCACACCTGTAATTCTGGCACTTGGGAGGCTGAGGCAGGAGGATTGCCATGAGTTTGAGGCTAGCCTGGGCTACATTAATGAATTCAAGGTCAGCCTCAACTGCATAGCGAGACCTTGTCTCAGAAAAACAAAGAAGAAGGAGGAGGGGGAGGAAAAATGATGTGTCTGTGTGTCTAGATATGGTCTGTATTTGTATCTACATGTAAACACAGGATATGTGAACAAAATATGGGTCATACTACTACGTACATATCTATTACTCAGTAACTTCCTTTTTCATTCTATGACAAGGATATCTATATTAAGTTTTTAAAAAGGTTATATGATGTGTAGAGTGACCCTCCTTTGTAAAGTATATATAGACAAGGAAAAAAGTTTGGGTTCCTCAGTGGAGAGAGAACAGATGATTTTTCTTCTTTTCTATATTCACCTTCCTGTTCTTAAAGCTTTTTAAAATAATGAATTGTTTTAATAATGAATTGTTAAATTTTAAAAAATAATTAATATGGATTACTTTTCCATTCTTAAGAGTACGAAAATTTATTGGAGAATAGAAATGGGGGATAGAAATAGCTCCTGGAGACAGGAGGGTTCTGGAATCTTCTTTATTATTTTTACGAGTAGAATAAAATGTTTCCATTATCAAGAAAAAAGCCGGTATTAATGCAAAGCGTGAGACAGCATATTGGTCCTTTTACCTATCTCCGGCCTGCAAGTGAATTCTCCGTGAATCAAAATAGGAACTACATAAACTGAATACATTTAAGGTGACTTGTGAGTACATTTGGGACTTCCAGATCAAGTTGGAGCTTGTTTTTGTGGTTTTATTGATTCGGTTATTTTTAAGAAATCCAGCAATAACAGTACAAACTGAAATTGCCACAAGGGGAAGAAATGAACCACAATCTTTTTCGTTACTGATGTTATTTTTTTATTAGTAGTGTTGGCGGTGAGATTGATTTCCCTCTCGCATGCAAGAAAGTGAGCTATAAAACAAACTGCGGACAGCGCGGCCCCGCAGAGCGCGGCCCACTCGCGTTAATCGTACGCGCGGCTCAGGCTATCGCTCGCCTCACAGCAGTCTGCTCGCCTGCGCCACAGGAAGAGCCGCGGGCCCGCGCAGGCGCAGGCGCTGGGTGGCGCGCGCCGCGGGGCTACTGCGCAGGCGCGGCAAGCCCGCCCGCGACCTAGCGCTGTGATCCCGGTCCGCCATGGTCGAGGCGTCTCGCTTGCACCGAGACGGTGAGAGCGGCGCCCGCGGGCAAGAATGAGACAGGGCCGGTTCACGATTCCAGCTAGCTGGGAAGGAGCTCTTCATCCCCACATCTCCACTCCTGTGAGAGATGATGGCCACCATCACTTTATCCCCCAGACCACCCGGGAGAAGCGAGAGACCAGCCCCGTCCCCGAGGAGACGCGGCGCTCGCGCGGTGCCCACGGCTGCGCGGTGCCGGTGCGCCGGGGCCTCCGCCGAGCCGGGGTCCGCCCCGGGTGTCAGCGGGGAAAGCGACCAGGGACGCGGGAGGCAGTTGTTTGTTTTTTGTGTCACTCCTAAGGCCGAACTGGCCAGGAGACGCCCCGTTTCGAAGCCCGCCCGCGCAGCCCTGCCCACTCACCCCGGGGAACCGGCGCCCTTCTCCCTGCGTGGGGGAGAGGAAGGTGCCGCGCAGCCCCTGGAACTTCCCTGTGCGCCGTGCGCCAGAGTCTGCCGTTTTTCTGTCATTGTTGCTTCTATACGTTATAAATTACGTAATCCACAGAAGTTTTTGTTTTGTCTCACAGGGACTTCGACACAGAAGCTGCATTACAGAAAGGAAGAAATCAGAACCACACTTCAAGAGTTGTTACTCTACTTAATTTTTTTAATAAACCTATGTATATGTAAGTACACAAGTATAAAGACACTGGTTGAACTCGAAGTTAAAATGTAGAAATGAGAAAACATGGGATTTAAAATCATAAGGCTGTCAGATTACATCCTATAACACATTTGGAACAATGACAAATTTGAAACACCATTATCCAATGACTGATAGTATTTCCCGGTTTTTTTTGTTTTTTGTTTTTTGTTTTTTTGTTTTTTGAGACAAGGTCTCACAAGTCTGTAATCCCAGCACTGGGAAGGCTGAGGCAGGAGGATCGCTTTGAGTTGGACGCCAGCCTGGGGTACAAAGTGAGCTCAAGGCCAGCCTGAACTGCATAGTGAGACCCTGTCTCAAAAAAAAAACAAAAACAAAAACAAAAAGAAAAATTATATTTACAGCACTGCTCATAAATTCACCTGCTGATTTATCTCATGTTGGCTTATACTACATACTGGCAGTCATATACCAATTGTCTTAATTGGTGTTGCCAGGTTAAGTTTGAGGCAGAGATTAACTAAAGACAACTGTAAACCTAGCATAGCGGCGCACGCCTGTAATCCCAGCACTTTGGGAGGTTGAGTCAAGACGGTCACAAATTAAGAGTCCCACCGGGGCAATTTAGTGAGACCCTGCCTCAAAATAAAAGGGTGGGGATATAGCTCAGTGGCACAGCGCCAGCCTGGCAAGTGCAAGGTTATGAGTTTGATTCCTGGTTCCAAAATAAAGTAAAACAAAAAATGGTCTGGCAGTGTAGCTCAGCACAAAGGCCCGTATATGTTCAAGCCATAGCAAAAAATAAACTGTAGCCAACTTTATAAATTAACATGTCTTAGGCTGGCTTGTAAAAGCTTAATTACAAAAATATTAAATTCTTATGGAAGATTTAGAAAATAGAAAATAAGTAAAAAAATAATTCACAGTCCCACTATCTTTTAAGACTTTTCTTATAATAAATAGAATTGGAAACAGCCTCTTTCTCAACACTGTAGTGTATATACAGTCGAATAGGTACAGTTATTAAAGATTGGCATAGATTCATGTGTGCCATAGAATGCTGTTGAAGATACATAGTTTTGAACAATTAAGGGCTTCTGGCAAAAAGCTATGTTTTGTCAAAACTCTATAAACAGGAAAAAAGAACAATACCAGTTAATATCTTTTTTGTTTTTTAAGACAAGATCTTGCTTTGTAGCTCAGACTGGCGTTGAACTCAGTGTGTAGCCCAGGCTGTCCCCAGACTCATGGTAATCCTCCTGCCTCAGCCTCCCGAGCCCTGGGATTACAGATGTGTGCCACCATGCCAAGTTGGTTAATATTTTTTAAAACTTTTATTGTATGCCAAAGAACATTTTTGAATGTTCTATATGCATCACCTCACTTTTCTCAATAAAACTAGCATGTAGGAGGTAATACCCCCACATCGAACTCTAACCCTTAAATAGCTGAATTCAAAGCCCATAGCCTTTCTTCAGTTTTTATTATTAGAACATGTTTGCAGTAAAGAATGATTACATTCATCATGGGGAGTCAGTGCACATACACAGTACATCTTAGCTCTTTTTATAGCCCCTTCCCCTCCTCTCGAAAGTCCACAGCCTTAGCCACTTATCTTACTCTACTGCCTATTCACAACATGGAGAAAAAGCCAGTTATAGAAATAATAGATAGAACATGACCTCATTTTTTGTAAAGATGAAATTATTTTGTTTATAAGTGTGTATGCATAAGACCTGAAGAATCTTCTCCAATTGAACTCTGGTAGTGGGATTATAAGAGGCTTCTTCCCACTTTGGGTAATTCTATTTTAGATTTTTTTTAAATTATCACTTTTATAATTAGACAAAACAAAGTTGTATTTTCAAAATTGGGAATGAATTGTGACATTTTTAATCCTGACAAACTGAGTTTTTAAACATAAGTTTTTAAACAAAAATAATTCTTCTCCTTAGTGACTTTTGGCATGGTAAATCCACATATGTATTACTTTAACAAAGTTATGTCATCTCTGTTTTTGGATACTTCTGTACCTGGTGAGGAAAGAACCAACTTTAAGTCTATTCGCAGCATAACTGACTTTTGGAAGGTAAGGTATGCAACTGTAGATTAAGCAGCTTTAGGTATTCCGTAAACCCTTGGCACACATAGTAAGCAGGGAATATTTGTTGAGGAAATGAGTAAGAATGGGTATCATTTCTTTAAGTTATTATAATCAACTAGCCTTAGTGTTTACTGAGAATGTATGTTCAAAGGATGATACTGTTCTTATGACTTTAAAAAATTACATTTTTGGGGCTGGGGATTTAGCTCAGCGGCAAAGCGTCTGCCTGGCAAGCACAAGGTCATGAGTTCGGTTCCCGGTACCGGAGAAAAACCAACCTGGGCTTCAAAGTGAGCTCAAGACCAGCCTGAACTGCATAGCAAGGCCCTGTCTCAAAAAGACCAAAAAAAAAAAAAAAAAAAATTACATTTTTTTGAACACTTCCTAAGTCATTTGGAAAATACAGGACTCGTTGCTTATGGAGGGTTAGGGTCTAACATCAGTCTATAAAGGGCTGGGGGCACAGAGCATTTACTTAGTATTTGTAAGGCCTATGGTTTGATTCCCAGCTTTAAAAAAAAAAGAAATCAAAGATTAAAAAGTCAGTCTATAAGTGTGTATATAAAATACTAGTGACAGTTACTCTTAATGACCCAGAGAATATAATAGACATGTTTTGGTATGCAGCCGTGTGTGTGTGTGTGTGTGTGTGTGTGTGAGTGAGTTACAGTAATGTGCAGTATATAGAAAGAATATAATGTTATAGTTCTATTAATCTTTTCCATTGCTGGGACAAAGTATCTGACATACACAACTTAAAGAATAAAAGGTTTATTTTGTCTGATGGGTTCACAGATTTCAGTCCATTGGCTGAATCCAAGGCAGAAGGGCCTGAAGAAAGGGCAGCTAGGAAGCAGAAAACAAGGAAAGAGCCAGAGAGGAAGGGGCCCAGGATGAGATACAGTCCCCGAGGTCACAGCCCTATGGCTCACTTCCTAACAGCCCATTCAACCGCCAGTCGTCAGAGGATTGGCTTATTGAGATCAAGGGCCACAGTCCAGTCACGTGTCCAGAAGTCTCTTAATCAGTCAAGTTGATAATTAAGATCAGCTGGCACAGTAGTGTTTATAGCATTTGGGTACAGAGGATGAGGCAGTTAGGGCAGGTGCTCAGAAGTGATGACAGTGCAGTTCATTTTTAAAGGATGAATAAGGAAAGGACATTCTAGGAATAAGGGACAATATGTCTAATAAACTATTCTACATGTAGAGCTGTTTGGCACTATGGGCATATGGAAGGTGAAGTGGAAGAGGCCAAACTGTGACTTGGACAAGGTCAGCGTGAATGCCATGCTAGAAATTTACAGTTTACCAAGGAGACAAGGAGAGGGTGAGGACAAGTGTGAGATAAGGGCTAAGTGATCAGAAGTGATGGTTTAGACTTGGTGAAACAGGTGAACTTGGTGAAACGACAGGAAAGGAAGGGAGGCTCATCTTGCTTCTGTTTACTGTGTGATCTAGAGGCATGTATACAGCCAATGGCAAAGAAGACAAAGGAAAAAATAATGCCCTCTGGGCTTGGAACCTCTCAGAATGAGCAGAAAGGGTCAGAGCCAGGAGTAGCAGTCAACATAGCCAGAGCTGTGGAAGGAGCTTAGGGGCTGGGGAGTGCAGACAATTATAAGGTAAAGTCATGATGTGTGGCTATAACCAGCTCTGATGCTCACCTTTTGGAGAGCAGTTTTTAATGGACTTAGATACAAGCTTTAAGATACATGAGTTAATACTTGTAAAGTGGTCAGAGCAGTACCTGTTACACAGTGAGCTCCAGGAAGTGCTAACTATGAAGAGGACCACATCTTCACTGTTAATACTAATGGTGATGTGGTTGATAATTTTCCTACTCAAAATCTCTCGTATGTAATGTATAAATATAGATTTGTTGATGTGAAAATATTTTTCTCAAGATAATTCTCTTTCTATATGAAGTTTATGGAAGGACCCCTTCTGGAAGGTTTGTACTGGGATTCATGGTACAATAACCAAAAGCTGTATAATTTAAAAAACAGCAGTCGCATCTACTACGAGAACATCCTCCTTGGAGTCCCCAGAGTTCGGCAGCTAAAAGTTCGCAATAATACGTGCATGGTCTATTCATCCTTTCGGTCTTTGATGAGTGAATGTTATGGCAAGTATACTTCTGAAAATGAAGACTTAGCCGATTTTGGCATCAAAAGTGGTACCGAGTAAGTAACGTAAAATTATACAGTAACTTTTTCTAGCAGGTAACTGTTGTGTCTTTTAAAAATTGTAAAAATAGGCATATTTCCCAAGTAGTACAGGCTGTACCTGGTAGGTAAGGTAACTGTTTCAACAAAAGTATCAACAGGAGGTTTGGAGATAGTGTCTTAGTTACTATTCGCTCCTTGCAGAGACAAAATACCTGACACCCAAAGTTAAAGGAGGAAAGATTTATTTAGCTCACAGTTTGTAGAGAGCCAGCTCCAAGGCAGCGTGGCATGGCAGAGGGCAGCAGTTCACAGCAGTAGGGGAAGACGGCAAAAGCAACCAGAGCAAAAGGGGAGGGGCAAACCTCTTTTCCTCCCTTACCCTGTATACAGGCTACCCAGCCTAGGGAAGGTATAGTGTTCACATGCCCAATCCCAGTACTAGACAGTGAACCAGTCACAAACTCTAGATTCAGCAGCCTTGGAAAAGCCCATGCCCTGTGACCATATGAGGCTTTGGGAGGGACATCCATACACAAACCATAACAGATAGCAATGCTCAGAAAAGAAAGAGCAGCTGTGCATGGTGGCACATGTCTGTAATCCCAGCACTCAGGAGGCTGAGGCAGGTGATCACCACAAATTCAAGACCAGCCCGCAATACCTTAGTCCAGGCCAGCCTGAACTACATAGCAAGACCTTGTCTTGAAAAAAATAAAAAAGGAACAGCAAAAACGGGGTTTTGGGAGGCCTGGTTTTGTTTTTTGCTTACCTTAAGGTACAAAGTATTTTGGTTTTTTTCTTCTACAAAATCCTTAGTCATAGTAAATGCATGGCAAAACTTCAGTTTTGCCTCTGCAATAGTCAGTTCTCGGGCTTTCGCTACTCGTCCTCAAACACACCCCTAAAACTTCATGAGCTCCTTAGGAACATCTTAGGTGTACTTTGCCACTTTCCTCCCCCTTCATCTTGGCTTATGTCAGTGCTTTCTGGCTGCTGGTACTGAAAAGGGTCAGGTATGCTCTGCAGACACCATCCCACGATGGTTGCCAAACATGCTATGGCCATTGTTCCCCACAGTGACTGAGGCTAACACCGGTGGGGATTCATGCCTGTGATTTACATTGGAAATGCGAAAGCCCAAAGTGCTGGAACCACCTATCCTGGACACAGAGGCTGCTGGTATCAGTGTTGTTGTACAATCCACATTCCTGGCTTTTCCAAACTTCTGGGGTCTCTACTGCACCTTTTGCTTCACACTCACAGCTTTCATAGGGGGAGAGAATAAACCTTTTTTGTATATAGTATTTATGAAAAGGTGATACAAACGTTTGCAAAGGTGTAATTCCTACTCTCTAGATAGACCTACTCTGATCTTCTAGTAAATACTTCCTGTCTCTAGTATCCTAGTTCTGCTAACACTTGATTTTACAGTTTATGTATCTATAGTTTTTATATTTTATGTATCTATTTCTGGTGTTTTTGTTTTTTGTTTTTTGTTTTTTTTGTCTTTTTGAGACAGTGTCTTGCTGTGCAGTTCAGGCTGGGCTTGAGCTCACTTTGTAGCCCATGATGGTCTCAAACTCACAATGATCCTCCTGTCTCAGCCTCCCAAGTGCTGCGATATCTTGGTTACTTTTCTCTCATTGCTGTGACAAAATACCTGACACCCAGAATAAAGGAAGGAAAGGTTTATTTAGCTCACAGTCTATGGAGGTTTCAGTCTATACTTGGCTGGCTCCAAGGCAGAGTGGCACATGGCACAGGGCAACAGTTCATGGCAGTGGAAAACAGCAAAAGCAACAAGAGCAAAAGGGAAGGAGTGGCAGCAAGCAGCCTCTTTCTGTCCCTTGCATATACAAACTATCCACCCCAGGTGGGTGTAGCACTCACACCCATAATCCCAGCATTGGATCATGGATAAATTATAAACTCTAAAAGCCCACACCATGACTGCATGAGGCTTTGGGGGTACATCCAGACACAAACATTCCACCTCTGGTCCCCCAAAGACTCATGCACATCCCTTTATGTAAAAGGCATTTAGTCCAACTCTTAAGAGTTGCTAAAATCCTAACAGTTTCAGCACTGCTGAAAAGTCCAAGTCCCAAGTCTCCTCTGACATGTAAGGCAAACTCTTAGCTGTGAGTCTCTGTACAAATGAAAAGTTAAACACTTCCAACATTCAGTGGCACAAAATAAACATTACCATTCCAAAAGGTATAAACGGGGATACAGAGCATTGGGACCAAAGCAAGTCCAACATCCGACAGGGCAAACATCAAGTCCTGTAATTCCACATCCAGCATCTGAAGCAACTTGTGGCAAACTGTACACTCCAGAGGGCTTGTGTGACTCCATCCCCAATGGTACTTCTGGTAGTTACAGCTCCCACAGCTTCTCTCTTAGGCCTGCTTTGCTCCCTCTTTGCAGCTTTCCTCAGACAATCCACATTCCTGGCTTTTCTAAATTTCTGGGGTCTGCACTGCACCTTTTGCTTGACGCTCACAGCTTTCACATATTGCCCCCTCGGGCACACTGCCTGGCCCCCCAGGCCTTCTGAAATTGAGGTGGTGCCCTTCTTAACCTCTGAACTCTTGCATTCTGCATGTGCCTAAAACCAGCACCACATGGATGATGCCAAGGTCTGCTGCCTCCTGGAGCAGTAGCCAAGCTTTTCTTTCTCTTGGCCATAGGGATCAAGTGCCTGGATCGCTGGGCACTCTGAATCCAATTCTGAGGAGCAAATTCTCTATGCTCCCACCATTCTGGAACCTGGTGCAGCCACCACTGCCATTCTGAAACATGGTGCTCAGCACCTTCTCAAAGCAAAGTCTTCCACTTTTGCAGTTTTGAGGCTGCAAAGGGCGGAAACTTGCTGGTTCTTGTGATGGCCATCTTTTTGATTCTCTTGTTCCTTAGCAATAGAGATTGCTAAGAGATCTTAGCACTAGAGATCTCCTCAGCCTTATCTTTGTAATCCACAGCTTCCTTTTTGACCAAACCCACAACATTTTAAATCCTCCTGCTGGGCTCTTTGCTCTTGATTCTCAACAGAAATCTGGCTAAAAGCCCCCAACAATAACCATGCCACTGCCCCAGCATTTGACTGCCTTGAAATTTCTGCCAGATTAATCAGTCCACCACCCTTAATCTTAGTCTCAGGCAACATCTGTGGACACAAGCAAAATGCAGACAAACTTTCTGCCAGGCTGTAACACACATCATCTGGAGTCCAACAGTGCAGTCCTTCTTCCCAACAGAAACCTCCCAAACCCCGTCTTTACCAGCAGGATTTCTATCAGCTTTCTGGTCTTTTGAGCTCTGACCAGAATCTCCTATACAGAACAGCCAAATGCATTCCAGCTCTACTCTTTCATGCGACATCTCCAAACTTTTCCAAACTCTTCTCACAAGCCATTTCCAAAGGCTCTTGAACCACATGGTCAGTTATAGTCACAGCAATGACTCCACTCCTGGTACCAAATTCTGTCTTGGTTACTTTTATCTCATTGCTGAGACAAAATACCTGACACCCAGAATTAAGGAAGGAAAGGTTTATTTAGCTTACAGACTGTGGAGGTTTCAGTCCATACTTGGCTGGCTTCAAGACAGAGTGGCACATGGCACAGGGTAACAGTTCATGGCAGCAGAAGACTGCAAAAGCAACAAGAACAAAAGGGGAGGAGTAGCGGCATGCAGCCTCTTTCTCTCCCCTACATATGCAAACTATCCACCCCAGGGCAGGTGTAGCACTCACACCCATAATCCCAGCATTGGCTCATGGATTAATCATAAACTCTAAAAGCCTGCCCCATGACTGCATGAGGCTTTGGGGGGACATCCAGACACAAGCCATAACATGGGGATTACAGGCATGCGCTACCACTCCCAGTTTATGAATATTTCATCATGGAAGATGATCTGTCATGTAACTTTATGCCAACTCCTCTTTTCCTCTTAGCCTCTCAATATAATTATGCCATGATTACTGTTAGTTATTTGTTTATATTATAAAAATATCAATTCTATCTCCTTTCTTGAACAACTTTCCCTGAACTACTCAGTATTAATAATTGCTTTGTGAAAAAAAAAATAATAATTGCTTTGTGGTTTTGGTTGATTTATTTTTTCTTTGTATGAATTTTGGGCATCCTTGAGGGTTTGTATAATTCTAATAAATCTAATTAACTCCCTTTCAATGAAAAATTTCAGGATAAATCAGTTACACATTTTAAGGTGAATCTCAAGGCCAACCTTTTATTTTTATAGTCTGAATTCTGATAACAACTATAAGTACTTTAAATATCAAAATTGATGCTATGGGTTAGGTTTATGTTACTGTCTATACAATTTATTGCGATTGTGACTTAATACCTGTCATTCCTCCACACCAAAATAAGAAACAACCTGTGCTTGCTTATCTTCTCTAAAATGTAAAATTCATTTATTAAAAACATCTGCTTAAAAATTGGAAGCCGAGACAGTAAGTTAATAAACCTTCCTGTTTAACAGTCATATGCAGAAAACCCTCAAAAACACCACTATGAAACTTAGGCTAAAGTATAAATATGGATGTGCCATGCCTGTAATACCAGCTACTCTGGAGGCTGAGACAGAAGGATTGAAAGTGCCAGGCTAAACTGGGCGTGGTGGTGCACCCCTGTAATCCCAGCACTCAGGAGGCTGAGGCAGGAGACTCATTGTGAGTTCGAGACCAGCCTGGGCTACAAAGTGAGCTCAAGACCAGCCTAAACTGCATAGTGAGACCCTGTCTCAAAAAAAAAAAAAGCGCGGGCTGGGGATTTAGCTCAGCGGCAAAAGCGCCTGCTTGGCAAGCGCAAGGTCGTGAGTTCGGTTCCTGGTACCGGAGAAAACCCCCCCAAAAAAAAAACAAAACAAAAAAAAAAAAAGCGCAAGGCTACTTAATGAGATTCTGATTCAAAGTTAAACTTAAAAGGAAAAAAGAAAGTGAAACTAGGAGGGAGTGCAGGGCACAGGGAATGGTGGGGTGTAGTGTGAAAATGATCAGATATGTTATATGCTTATACAAGTCTGCCAAAATGAAGCCCATTCTTTCTCTTTCCTCTCTGCCCTGCCTGAGCAGCTCTCCTCCACATGCCCCCTGCTGTGCTCTGCATCGGAGCCAGGTGACTGCGCTGAAACATAAGCCAAGACAAAGTTCTCTTCCCTTAAGTTGTGGGTGTCAGGTGTTTTGTCCCAAGCGTGAGGGAAGTGGCTAAGATAGTTCTTCAGGACAGACCGCAGGCTAAGTCATACAACTAGACTCAGCACCTTCAAAAGAACTAAAATCATACAGCATGGCTCTTTGGTCAAATTAGACATCTGTAGCAGAAGAAAAATTGAGAAACCCACAAACAACTGGAAGTTAAAGGAGAGACACCTGAAGAACCACTGGATCAAAGGGAAAATCAGCTGGTCAGCTGGAAACTGCTTTGAGATGCACAGAAAAAAGACAACACGCAAACTGGTATGCGAAAAACTTTGTGCTCATGGCGTATTCATTCCTGCATGTGCCCACATCATAAAAGACTGCAATGTAATAAATCAGTCTTCCCCTTGAGAAGGAGAAAAAGAGAAAACTAAAGCCAAAGCAGACAGAAGGAGGGAAATAATAAAGATTAGTACAAAAATATGTAACATAAAGAATAGAAAAACCAGCAAAACCTAAGATAGATTCTTTTGAAAAGATGAATAAAATTGACAAACCTTTAGGCCAAGAAAGAGAGAGCTCGCAAAGTAATGAAATGGGAAGTGAAAGGGGGGGTGTCACTACCTAGCTTTCAGAAATCAGGAGGTGGCAGGAAAGGCCACAGATTGTGGCACACTGACTAGTTAGACATAAAGTAGAAAGACAGTTCTCTAAAACTGGATGAAGACAGAAAAATATTAACTAGAACAAAAAGAGATGGAAATAGTCCTTTAAAAATACCTGCAAAGAGCCAGGTGTGGTGGCACAGGCCTGTAATTCCAGTACTCAGGAAGCTGAGGCAGGAAGATCATTGTGAGTTTGAGACCAGCCTGGGCTACAAAGTGAGCTCAAGGCCAACCTGAACTGCATAGCGAGACCCTGTCTCAAAAAAGATAAACAAACAAACAAATGCCCACAAAGAATTCCCAGGTCCAGCAGGCTTCACTAGTGAATTTGTCCAAACATTCAAAAGTGATGCCAATTGTTCACAAACTTCCCAAACATACAAGAGTAAGCAATGTTGTTCAGTGGGAAATATTGTTCCAATTTATCTGAGAGACCAGCATTACTCTGATGCCAAGGTGTAAAATTACAAGAAAAACTGCTGGCCAGTCACCCTTGTGAATACAGACAAATGTACTCTCAGCAAAACAGCAAGCCAACTCAACACTAAGAAAAAAATCAGATGCCATGATCGGAGGATTCTCCTAGGAATGGGAAGTTCATTTAGCACTCCAAATCAATTAATGTATGTACCATATTAAGAGAATAAGACTATAAAAAACATTAGTTTACATAATTAATATATACTAATAAAAAGATGTGGAAGAAAGAAATTTAAAAGGACTGGCTGTAGCTTGGTGTCAGAGTGCTTACCTAGCATACTTGAGGCCCTGGGTTCAATCCCCAGTAATGTAATTATAATAGTAATAATATTCACAACACTTACAAGCACTTTTTCTTAGTGGTTTCAGCACCCACACTCTACCCTGATGAGATCATAGTGTTATTAATAGAAAAAAGTTTAAGCAGTAATTTTTGGGAAACCTTTCAAAATACATTGGGTAAATTGAATATGGAGACTAAAATGAGGAATCAAGGCTTTCTTTTGATTATCTCATAATTCAAAGTAAAAAGAGTGGGAAAATAAGTTATATACATTTTACTTTATGTATTTTAAAATAAAATAGCTATGTAGCATACAGACATTGTAACAAAGTTTATCATGATATATGACTTTTACAAGATAAACTGTGAAGCATCCTTACTCTCATACTGAGATGTTTCTGAATCAAAACTCCAGATAGTCTTGCCCCACTCAAAAGCTAAATGTCTCATGAGACAAAAGAGACAACACATTAAAGAAAAACATTCATAATTTCTAGATTCTAAGATCCCATTTTTCTCGTAACAGTTTGTCCTTGCACTTCTGAATATTCAAGGTACAGAAAAAGTGGAGCCAATAAGAAATAAGCACATCAAAAAAAAAAAAAAAGAAAAAGAAATAGAAATAAGCACATCTGCTTGAAAAATTTTAAATTGAACCAGTGACCCACACTTTGTACAAAATAAATTATTCTTTTTGGTTTTCTTTTTTGTTTTTCTTTACTTTTTTCTACAAAATTGTCATTTGTGTTACCCAAAATAAGCCCTAAAAAAGTAAAAACATATACTTCCGTAGTCCTTTTAAGTTAATCTTTAACTCACCATCTTGCTTCAAAATAACAGTGACACTTGAACTTGCTAATGAAACTTTTTTTAAAACTACTTTGGAACCAAAGATTAGTTTAAACTCTTAGTTTAAACTCTTTTCAACAGGGGTTTCACATTCCTTCTCCATTACTTTTTTTACGTCTTAACAGGTGGAAGTACTCTACTCCTAGTACCAACTCCCCTTGGCACTGGGGATTCGTTGGTGTTTATCAAAATGGGGGATATATTTTTACCTTATCAAAATCAAAATCTGAAACCAAAAACAAGTTCGTTGACCTTCGATTGAACAGCTGGATCACAAGAGGAACCAGGGTTATTTTTATTGATTTTTCATTATACAATGCTAATGTAAACCTGTTTTGTATCATTAGGTAAGTGACTGAAAACATCTGTATTAGTATATTGAATTTTTTTTTTTTTTTTTGAGACAGTCTCGCTATGCAGTTCAGGCTGGCCTTGAGCTGACTTTGTAGTCTAGGCTGGCCTTGAACTCGCAACAATCCTCCTGCCTCAGCCTCCCAAGTGCTGGGATTACAGGTATGTGCCATCACGCCCAGCAGTATATTGAATTTAAAAATCATCCAGAACCTCACTGAGGTTTTCAATTTGTGCATGGCTGTGCTGATATTAAATAGTAAACTTTATTTATTTTTTTATTTTTTATTTTTTTGGTACCGGGAATCAAACTCAGGACCTTGCACTTGCCAGGCAGGTGCTTATGCCACTGAGCTATATCTCCAGCCCTTAAACTTTAAAATAAATACAATGTAGTTCTTAAATATAATGTAGTTCTATCAGTAACAAAAAAGGGCTGGGGATAGAGCTCAATAGTACAGTGGTTGCCTACCATGTATAGGTCCTGGGTTGAATTTCCAGTACCGCAAATAATGATGATGATGAAACAGAAGGTAAAGCAATATCACATTCATTGTTTAATTAATTCAGAATATATTTAGGAACATAGAGAATTACAGTGTTAATTTTATATTGCTTAGTCTTTTTATTTTTTTATGGTACTGGGTATTGAACCCAGGACCTTCACACTGAGCTTCACCTTTTTAATTTTTTATTTTGAAATAGCATCTTGCTAAATTGCCACCCATGCTGGGCTCAAGTTTGTGATCCTCCTCCCTCAACCTTCCAGAGTGCTGGGATTACAGGGGTGCACCACCACACCTGGCTTCCAGAACCAATAAATACTTAGGTAGGAATAGATGTATTGTAATATTGCAATAGAAATTCTGGTTCCTTAAAACACTGCCAATTCTTAAATATCTCACATTACTAGAAATAACAGCGAACAATTTCAAAATCCTTTTTATATTTAGTGGTGGAATTAATTTTTATACTTCTTGCCAGGCTCAGTGGCACACACCTTCTCAGGAGGCTGAGGCAGAAGAACCATGGTGCATTTGAGGCCAGCCTGAGCTATAGTTCAAGACCAACCTAGACTATATAGTGAGAACCTGTCTCAAAAAAATTATACCTCTGTATGCATAGGTCGTTGTATCTAACATCTAATGCCTATAATAAACACAAAATATTTTAGTAGAATATGTGACCCTGATATATAGAAGCAGGAAGTATCTCTGATAAGCTAATAGTGGAGAATGTATTTCTCACCTTTGAAATATTTAGTAATTACATATTTTTAAAGAATTATGTATTTTGAAGACGGTCCAAACTAATAACAGTAACTGCTGCAGTACAGCATTTCCCTGAAATTCCCTCATTTCCTCATCCTCCTACGAAGGTAAGTTAGTATTTCTATTTCTGAATGAACAATCTGTAGAACAATAGAATGAATCTCTGTCTAACATCACATCTTTCTCATTTATGTTGCTCTTGCACCTCTGAATATTCAAGGTATAGAAAAAGTGGAGCCAATAAGAAATAAGCACATCTACCTGAAAATTTTAAAATTGAACCTGTGACCCAACGAAACACATTTCGTACAAAATAAATTATTCTTTTTGGCTTGCTTTTTTTGTGTTTCTTTTATCTGCAAAATTGGCATTAAAGTATACATTGTAATTAATTAGAAATTTCACCTTGAATTAAGCACTAAAATATAAATACATGAGATTCAAAGATATTTTCACAAACCTAATTTTACAGGTTGGTAGCAGAATTCCCTGCAACTGGAGGAGTACTTACGTCATGGCAGTTCTACTCTCTGAAACTCCTCAGATATGTCAGTTACTCTGATTATTTTATTGCCTCTTGTGAAATCATATTTTGTATTTTTCTTGTTGTCTTCACAACACAAGAATTCAAAAAAGTAAAAGAATCTAAGTTCGCCTATTTCACAAGTATTTGGAACTGGTTAGAATTACTGCTTTTGTTGGTGAGTATACATGCATGTGTATGGTTGGAGGGGTCACATCTGAACCCACCAAAGAGGGAAGTGTAAGAAACAGAATTTTCTGGGCTGGGGATTTAGCTCAGTGGCAAAAAGCGCCTGCCTGGCAAGCGCAAGGTCGTGAGTTCAGTTCCCGGTACCGGAGAAAAACCAAAAAAAAAGAAACAGAATTTTCTATTTGGCCTGCACTTATTTGGGGTTTGTTTTGTTATTTCCCAGTACCGGGAATCAAACTCACAACCTCATGTTTGCCAGGCAGGCGCTGTGCCACTGAGCCAAATCCCCAGCCCCTTGGCTTGCACTCCCCCCCCTCTGGTACCGGGAATCGAACTCACGACTTTGCGCTTGCTAGGCAGGCACTGTGCCGCTGAGCTAAATCCCCAACCCCTGGCTTGCACCTATTTTGAAAGCTGCAAGTACTAAGCCTAAAGCAAGCTGTCACTGTGCATACTAATAGTGTGATGCTAAAAGGGAGAAATCCATTTTTTTTCTGATTGGCTCGTGACCGCTGGGAGGACCCAGCATAAACCTAGAGGAATATGTGATTCCATAAATATTATGACTTCATGCATACACTAGGTCCCCTTGCCCGTACTCGGAAAAAGGTATTCCTGTCAGACTCAGCAGTGAGCGCTTGCAGTCCCAGCTGCTTTGGGAGCCTGGGGCAGGAAGATTGAGTCCAGGACGGGGCCACACAGAAAGAGATGGAGGGGTGGATGGGGTGATGGCGGGGTGTGGAGGTGTTAAGGAGAGACGGGGAATGAGAGAAGAGAAAATAACAGAAAATTTACCTATAATGGGCACAACTAGAGCCCATAATCATAAGTGAGATAAATCAGACCCGCATGTGTAAATACCGTATTGTCTCACTAGTATAAGAACCTGAAAGAGTGAATAAAATCTAGGAGGTACAACAGATACTGTGAAAGGGAAGAAATTTACTCAAAAGGAAAAGAACAACTGGGATGAGGGAAAAGAGGAAAGAAAGAAGGGAAAAATATGTATGTATCTATACACAGGATAGCTAAGATAGTTGTACTACTGATTTCTATTGCTTTATCAAAAGGAACAGTTAATGTTTAATTGTTTGATCAATCGTACATGTCTATATTTGTTTATCTGGGGCTGGGGATATAGCTCAGTGGCACAAGTGCCTGCCTGGCAAGCACAAGGTCATGAGTTTGATTCCCGGTACCCCCCCCCAAAAAATAAAACCAAAAAATGTACACTAATATATTTGTTTATCTGAGTAGCCACTTTGAAGATATCAATATGTAATACAACAACCATTGTTAATTTCCTATCACCTTGTCTGAAATTCTGTATTTTTGTGTTATTTTGTAAATGTGTGTGTGTTTTCATTCTTTTATCTTTACAATAAAAAAAGAAAATAACAGAAAAATGAGAAAAAATGTCTTCCTCACAGGGCCTCATGTCTCACCTATCATGAACTTTTCTGAACAAGTCTCTTTAACAGGTGCTTTTCATGTCACCTCAAGGTGCTTTCCCTCTCACACCAACTGGGAAGTAGGCACAAGACTAGGCAAAACTGACGGTGGGGAGGGGCTTGAGCACCCAGAGGGTGACTAGGAGGCACAGGGCATGGGGGAAATCATCTGTGAAAGAAGAAAGCAAAGCCTGCACATTTTAGGCACTGGAATGTCTAACATAAACATGGAGATAGATGTGTGCAGGCCAGGCCAAATGTTATAAGCTTGGTCTTAGAAATAGTCAAGGAACAAATACTTCTGGTTTCTCCAATTTGATCTTTCACGGTCGTTAGCCCTTAGTTATAGCTAACCCAGCACTAAGCTTTGTTTCCCAAAAGCAGATTGAAAGTTTCTGCATCCAAAAGTGTGCCGTCTGTGTCTCCACTAACCCCAGTAATGCCTAACAAAGGGCGTAACATTAGATGTTTAACTGTGAGTGTTTTAGGCAAGGAAACTCAAAAATTGTATGACAGTTATGAAGCTCTGATACCTAAGATAACCCGAGTCTCAAAGCATTTTTAAAAAGACACTTTTAGGGCTGGGGATATAGCTCAGCAGCACGAGGCCTGCCTGGTAAGCATAAGGTCCTGAGTTCAATTGGTGGTTACCCATCCCAAGAGACATTTCTGAAAGGACAAATGGAATTTTTAATTTTTAAAAAATTTTAATCCTTTTAAAGAGGAAAAGAAAATTTCAAAGCAAGATAATAGGGTAACAATGGTTAATACACTGCTTATTGCTATTTTAAATTAATCAGAGTACAAGATATTGGCATTTAATTGTCCAAACAATATTAGCACAAACATCTTTTCAATGAACTGAGAAAATTAGTAGTAGAACTATCTTAACTAATATATATATATATTGCTTTTCCCTTCTTTTCTCCATTCCCCCTGGATGTTTTGTGTAATTTTTTTTCTTGTAGTAATACATGATAGAAAATATTAAATTTTTAAGTATCAGAGTAGAAACCCTTACAGCCTAGGCAGGGTGACACAAACCTTGTATATATGACTCATGGAGGTAAGTAGATAGGTTAGGAGGCCACAGAATTTGTCTCTACCTTTGTGAGAACTGTTACTTTTAACTTCTGTAACTTGAGGATTACTGCATGTCCTATCTTTCCCTCCCTCTATTAAACTTTTGATGAATATTTTCATGTGTTTCTTACAGGCTACAAGAAATTTCAAGGTACAAATAGTTTCTAATTTAACTCTTGTTTTCCCATTTAGTTGTGTTTTGTGACTGTTTTCTTCTACGCATACTGTAATTTGCAAAACTTTCTCCTACTTGGACAGCTATTAAAGAGTACTGAAAAATATTCAGACTTCTATTTTCTTGCATCCTGGCACATTTATTACAACAATATAGTTGCTATTACTATCTTCTTTGCATGGATAAAGGTATTTATATCTTATTCTGTCGCATGTTAAATGGTCTACAAGTGTAATATGAACTTAAATTATAAAGCTATAGTTAAATAAATTTCTGAACTATTGAGTAATTCTAAAAGTAGTTTGGCTTTGTACTGATTGCTGATAAATCTTCAAACATCCTTGATTATTGTTAGATTCCTCCTTTAATTTGAAGCAGAATTTTTCTGAAATTAACTTACTTAAAAGAATTATAATCTTTGATATAAGTAATTGTAATTTTTGATATTCTATTTTATTTAAATGTGTTCTTTTTCAGATATTCAAATTCATAAGCTTTAATAAGACAATGTCACAGCTGTCATCAACCTTGTCCCGCTGTATCAAAGACATAGTAGGATTTGCTATCATGTTTTTTATAATATTCTTTGCTTATGCCCAGTTAGGGTTTCTTGTTTTTGGATCACAAGTTGATGACTTTTCCACTTTTCAAAATGCTATGTAAGTTCTTAGTATAAATAATTAGTAGAATTATATTTCCTATAGTCTATATTCTATGTTTTCTAACAAAAAATCATAAAAGGGCTACAATAAGTGGCAATATAAGCTTTTTGTTTGTTTGTTTGTTTGTTTTTTTCTGGTACCAGGAATTGAACTTATGACCTTGCGCTTGCCAGGCAGGCACTGTGCCGCTGAGCTAAATCCCCCGCCCCCTAATATAAGCTTTTATTAAGCTTGGTTCTATATTTCCATTGAAGACAAAATATCTATATCATACTCAAAGTAAGGTTTGGCACTGAAGGATCCAAATGGATGGTGGTAACTCCTACCCCCCGCTTTGGTACTGGAGATTGAACCCAGGGCCTTTGCACTGAGCTGTGTCCTCAGCCCTTTTAATTTTAATTAATTAATTAATTAACTTATTTATTTATTTGAGACAGGATCTTGCTAAGTGCCTAAATTGTCCATTCTGGGCTTTAACTTGTAATACTCCTGCCTCAGTCTCCCTTGTGCCAGTACACCTGGTTGCTGGTGTCCATTTTTTTAAAAAGTGTGATTAAGTCAAGTTAGAAAAAAATGCTTTTTCATTTTTCACTTTGGATTCAGCTGATTTTTTTAAAAGAAATTTTGGCACTGAAATATTTTAATGTCCTTTATTGTACTGCATGAGTAAACGTAGGGCCTTTGCACTAGCTACATCCCCAGCTCTTTTTAATTTTTTATTTTGAGACAGGCAGGGCTAGAATTTGTGATTCTTGTGTCTCAGCCTTCCAGACTGCTGGGATTACAAGAGTAAACCACCATGCCATGTTTCATTTTGATATATTCTATAATTTTTTGTGGTTACCATGGGGTTTACATCCTAAAGTTATATAATACTCTAATATGAATTTATACCATCTTAAATTCAATACAAAAGTCCTGCTTTTATAGCTCCACCCCTCCTGTCATCACAAAAATATATCACTGTGCACTGTGTCCAAAAACAAACTAGTATTTGTAAGGTACTAGCCTTCTTAAATTGTGCAGAAAACAAAATACGGATTATAAATCAATGTGAGGATACTGAAGTTATTTTTTTGAAAACATGAGTTTTTTAAATAGTGTAGAAAACAAAAGATGGAGTTATAAACTACTGCTAAAATAGTAGTTTTTTTAAATGCACATTTATTTACCTTTACTGAGGTTTGTATTTTTTCATACGCTTTTGCATACTTTCATTTCCATCTGTAACACTAGGCCAGGGCTAGTGGTGAAGATTTCTCCCTCTCTTTTGAAGGACAGTTTTGCTGGATATAGAATTCTTGGTTGACACCACGGATGATGGAGCTGTAATCCCTTGGGAGGCTGAGGCAGGAGGATCACTGGGATGGATGTCAAGGCCAGTTTGAATTACACATCAAGACCCTGTCTCGAAAAAAAAAACAAACAAAACAAAACAAAATTGATTGAGGGTTTTTTTGTTTTGTTTTTGTTTTCAGTTTTGTTTTGTTTTCCCCTTTAACACTTTAAATGTTCTGGCCACCAAAGTTCCTGATGAAAAATATGTGCAGAAGGTTAGCAAGAGTAGCAAGTTACAAAACAGTATTTTCACCCCATTAATCCTGTGCCCCAAGGCATTGTTTGCTCCTTTTACCTTGAAAAAAAAAAAAAGGCCAAAAATGAAGAAAGTAAGCTCCAAGTAAGAGAAGAAAGGGTACGCTTACACTGTGCTTGGATTCTCTAGTTCCCTTGTGCTTCTAGCCATCCAGTAATGGCTTAGGTGTTTTTTATTATCTTCATTATTTACAACACAGGATCTAAATACTTTGCTGATAGGAAAGAGCTGAGAAGGACCTGTAGTTACTGAGCTAGTTTCTGGAGAAAAGAATGAGAAGTAATGCTTTTGACTTATTTTTTTCTTTTATAAACACAACTTTAGGATAACAACAACAACAAAAAAAATCAAGCTAGAAACACTGAAAGAGCACCTCATACTCTCCTATGTCAGAAAGGAAAAAAAAAATTTTTGTTGTGTGGAAACACTTTTCATCCCCTTCCTATCCAGCATTCTATCTTATGTAGAAAAACGTTATAAGACAGTATTAAAGGCAGGATGAATATTTAACTGTGGTTTCAAGTGTCTGGGTACTAGGAATAAAATCCTGAACAACTCTGAGGCCTAGGACACAAATTAGCCTATTTCTTTGAGTCAGCATGTCTTTCACTGTAGACGGCCTTCGGTTCCCGTTTGTGTTACTGGCAAAAGCAACAAGGGATAAGAGATCTTCTCCCTTTTAGCTGACTGAACAATCAGACTGATACTGCAGAGTATCGGTGTACTATTAAAAATTTATCCACAGCCTTGACCTTAAAGAACGTACATAATATGAACATACATACATATTGATATCCCTGGTTTATCTGGAGGTGCCATTGCAAATTAATGAGAAAATAAGATTTCAGGTTAGGGAAACCTGATTCTATTTCTGCTACCATTCTGCTATTTAATGCCTTCATATAATCTCTTCATTTTCATTTTTAAAAATAGAGGTTTGTAATGTTTTAAATGACATTTAATATCAAAGCCAAGCTGTTATAGTTATTAAAGAGGGCAAAATAAAACTCCGGCCCACAGTGAGAATCACCACCAGCACTTGGGACTAATGAGTGACAAACTGTTGGAGGTTGAGGCAGTTAAGACAAAAATTAAACACATAATCAACATTAAAATTTTAGGGCTGTAGAGTCTCGGTAAAACCACTTCTTGGACAAAGTAGAATTATTTTAAGTTTTAGAAGAGCACCGGAATGGCCAAGGAGTGCAATGCCAAAAACAGCTGTAAACAAATATGTCAAGGTCCAAATCTTATAGGTGAACACGGAATTCACACTGGTTAAATAAATTGAGGCCTACCAGTTCCTGAACTACTGTTTAACCACTGGGTATCTCAAGTCTTGCCTCTAGGAGAAGTCTCTCTTTTCATCTTTACAAAACTGAAGTAACGTAACTCCAACCAGAGTATGTGCCATATGCAACTAGACACTCTCCTGGAGAAGTTAGTAACGCCCTACAGTTGTCGTGGACATGCATGAAAAGATTTAATATTTACTGATGTGTTTTCTTCTCATCAAAGATTTGCACAATTTCGAATTGTCCTTGGAGATTTTAATTTTGCTGGTATTCAGCAAGCCAGTTGGATCTTGGGACCCATTTACTTCATCACTTTCATCTTTTTTGTGTTCTTTGTCTTGCTGGTAAGAATGACCATATATGTTCATTTTTTTGCTTACATTGTTTAGAAAAATAAAATTAGAAGAAATTGCAGCATTATTGCTTTCCTGATAGAACATTAGACATTTATTAAGAATGTCATGGATCCCTAATAATCGTAATCTCTAGTGTAGTGGCTGCTATTTGCAGTTGTCCAGTGGGGAGTGTGATCACATTTAACATCGAGGTATTAATTTTAGCCAGGAATATACTCAATCCTGCACACTAATACCTTGAATGTCCTACTTATCTCTAGGCTGGGATTATCTGTACCAGGAAGATTCAACTATTAAAATACTCTGCCCAGCCAGGCATGGTGGTATACACCTGTAATCCCAGCTGTAATCAGGAGGCTGAAGCAGGAGTATCACTGCAAGTTTGAGGCCAGCCTGAACTACAGAGTGAGACCCTGTTTCAAAAAAAAAAAAAAAATCTGCCCATTTTGTAATGGATTTGAGGCTCTCTGGCTACAAGAGTCACTAGATAGATCTCTCAGACGTGCTCAGAGTGTCTTCTTTTTGAAACGGTCTCTGTGTGTAGTTCAAGGTGACCTTGAGCTGTGTGGCCCAGCCCCCGGGGTGCTGGGGTCATAGGCGTGCCCCACCGCGTCCGGTGGAGTTGGGCTTTCTAATCCAGCCACTGTTCTTGTCCTCCATAAAAACACTTAGTGACACACAGTCCTCTGCCCCCATGATAGCCAAGATTCCTCAGGGTAACAGCGCTGCTGTAGAGTTAAAGGCAGGAAGCTGGGCTGGGAGCAAGAATATTGTCTCCACGTTATGTTATCTGGGCCTTAGTGGTTGTAGGTGCATTAGTACAATTTTACTTCATAGAACTAAAAACCTTCCCAAGAGAAGGAAGGAGACATAAAGAGAATTAGGATGTGTTATGTACATGTACCAGCTCCCCATGATAAGTGTATTCATGTATTGCAAACATGTACTAATAAAAATTAAAATTAAAAAAACTTCGTAGAATTGAAACACCCTTATGAGCCTATAGTTATTGTTTTTTTTTCTGATATATAATGTTGATAAATGAAGAGCTGAGTGTGGTGGTGCATGCCTATAATCCTAGCACTCAGGAGGCTGAGGCAGGAGGATCACTGAGTTCAAGGCAATAATAATGTATATATGTATAAATTAATAATTAATATATGCACATATGTATTAGCAACCAGTTAGTATACATAATAGTGCATTCTGTTTTTCTCATTTACCCTAAACATATTTGCCTGTATGCATACACTTTACATTTTCCATTCCCTATTGTATCTGCATGGCCATTTACCTACTATTGAGCATAGGGATTATTTTTAAAATTTAAATTGTATTTTACAAATCCCAGCACTTTTTAAAGTCATTAACCTTTTTATTTTGTTTTTAAGATGGGATCTCACTGTTACCCAGGCTGATCTGGAACTCCTGGGCTCAAGAAATCATCCCACCTCAGCCCCTCAAGTAGCTGGGACTTCAGGCATGCACCACTGCTCCCAACTTTAAAATTACTAACATTGAAATGAAATTTTAATTAGAACATCTGAATATTTCTCCCCAGAACATGTTCTTGGCAATAATTAATGATACTTATTCTGAAGTGAAAGCTGATTATGCAATAGGAAAAAGGCCAGATTTTGAACTTGGTAAAATGATTCAGATGGTAAGTAAAATTATCTTCCAAACTATAATTCTAAGACAAAAATTACTCCATTTTTACTCTTGTAGGTCAAATGTCACTTAAACCCCTAGTAGTGGTTTCTTTTCTCCCGAGGCTTGGCTTTTTTGGTCCAGTCTTACATCTGCATTATTTCATTGCTAGGTAAGCGAAGTATGCGCTCTGGCTTTAAAAATGTAGCTGAAAATTACTTGAGTCCCATATAGCAAATAGTAGTGATTTATTAAACGCAAAGTGCCATTGGGCATGTAGACTATCCCATCCCTCCCAAATCTTCAAGTTAGAAGCAAGTGTCTGTAACAGTGTGAGCTGAGAACGCCAGTGCCTGGCCTTCCTCACTTTCCTGCTTTTGTTAAAGGCGGTGTTCTCAGTCACTCCTGGCCCCAAAACCCTGGCAAGTCCTTTTCTTCGTCTCTTGAGACAGTCTGTTGTCCAGGCTTGTGTATCGTTTCTCTCTGCAGATCTTGTTCACACTTGTGGAATCCAAGGGCGCTTTCAATTTTGCCACCAACAGCTTAGGGTTTTTAGTATGTTTCACCCAGCCTTCTGCGTGGTGACTTCTATCCAGGCCACTCCAACCCTTTCTGTTGTGCCCCTGGGCTAGTCAAAATAAGTCCAGATTCTCTATTCAAATATTCTAAGCCCTGCTCAGGTCTCTTAGTCCTAGCCCATTTTTATTAACTATTCTCTTTTGGCAGGGAAGTACTGGGAATCAAACCCAGGACCTCACACTTGACGGGCAGGCACCGCACCACTGAGCTATATCCCCAGCACATTTATTAACTGTTCTTTACCTATAGTGTTTCTTCTCTTTTTGCCTTTATTGTACTGTGTGTCTCAGATGATCTGTTTCGAACACTGTGCTGTATACAGTGATATGATGCTTAAGCCTCTGCTCATTGTCATTGCCCAAACCCTGATTTTTTTGGGGGGGTAGCGGGGAGTCCTAGGGATTGGATCCAGGGCTTTTGCACTTTTTTATTGTTTGAGACAGGGTCTCACTAAATTGCCCAGGCTGGGCTCAAATATGAGATCCTCCCGCCTCATCCTCCTGGGATGCTAGGATTATAGGCGGCGCTACCACAACTGGTTTAAAAATGTTAACATTCTTAAAACAGTAGCTTAGTACTTTTAAAAGATCTTTGTTTCTTTCAACTGTGAAGCCCTCACAGAACCCCTGTAGCTTGTTCTCTAAGGAAGAAACCAGGGTGGTGGTGAGCATGAAAATAGTCACGGCATGTTAGCCTCCATATTTCTTCAGCACAGCAGTCTGTAGGGACAGATATTTCATATTTCATTTATCGAGGGGATAATAATACAGAATATATTTCGGATAAATTTTCATTTTAATTACCCCCAGACTTACCATAATGCTCTCGAGAAACTGAAGCTGAAGAAAACTCAAAAAGAAGACAAGAAAATGTAAGATGACTTTTAGAAAAATTTTAACTTAAAAGTTCTACACAGTTATTCTCAACTTATGACAGGTTATATCCCAATGAGCCCACTGTAAATTGAAAATAGTGTTAAACTGAAAGTAGTGTTGAAAATATTTTAAGTCAAAAATGCGTTCAGTACATCTAACCTACCAAACATCCCAGCTTAGCCTAAACTACCTTAGTCGGGCTCAGCTGGGTACAGATAATCTAACACAAAGCTTAAAGTACTGAACATTCCATCCAATTTTAAAAATACCTGTAGCCAAAAAACCTGGGCAACATAGCACACTGTAGAGTGGCAGTTGCTTCCCTTTGTGATCGAGTGGCTGATTGGGAACTGCTGCTGCTCGTGGTGGGGCTGGGGAGATCAAAATTCAAAATTAGAAACATAGTTTCTACTGGATGCATATCATTTTGCATTATGCAGTTCTTCAAAATCTGAAGTTGAAGCAGGGCGAGGAGGTGCACTCCTGTAATCCCAGGACTCAGGAGGCTGAGGCTGGAGGATTGCAGTGAGTTTGAGGCCAGCCTGGGCTACAAAGGGAGTTCAAGGCCAGCCTGAACTGCATAGTGAGACCCTGTCTCAAAAAACATCTAAAGGTGAACAATGGTGAAATCAGGAACCATTATAGGAGAACCTGACAGTAAGAGTTAAGCATCTGGTTACCAAACAGCCACCACCCAATGTGGTGATTCTCAATCCACTGCCACTGTATCTAGTAGGGCCTCTAATTCTGAGGATGTCCTGAAACTGAGCTAATTTCAAATTAATGTAAGACTAGGATATGGCTCAGTGGCAGAGAAGCAGCTTAGCATGCATGAGGCCCTCGGTTGGATCCCTACCATTGCTGAAAGAAATTACGGATACAGCATGTGCCACACTACTCAGAAAAAGCTCTAACAGGAAGGTGGGGGAACAGTCCCTCTAAAAAGGCAGTAAGCAGCTTCAGTCCTTATCAAGTGCATTTATTTAGCTATCAAAATAACATTTTACACACGACTTACATTTAACATTTACACTTGTACCTAGCATTAGACTTATATTTATTAATTTGCCAAATACTCTCCAAACTCAAACCTCTTGTAAAAATGTATTTTTTTCTTCTTTTTTTAGAGAAAAAAAACAATTTGAAAACAAAATAGGAGGGCAACAATGGTTAATACATTGCATGTTATCTTTACTCAGAGTACAAGATATAGGCATTTAGTTGTCCAAACAATATAAGCACAAACTTTTCAATAAACTAAGAGAAATTAGTAGTATAACTATCTTATCTTTTATATATATATATATATACACACATATATATATTGGTTTTTTTTTGCTTTTTTCCCTTTTCCCCCATTCTAGTTTCTCTTTCCTTCTGAATAGTTTCTTCCCATTTTACAATATCTATTGTACAGTTTGGATCTTATTTACTCTTTCAGCTTTTCATACAAGGGAGACAATGCAATGTTTACACATGTGCATCTGGTTTATTTCACTTATGAGTACGGTCTTAAGTTGCATCCATTTACCTATAAAGGTCTCCAGTTTATCCTTCTTTATGGCTGAGTAGTACTCCATTGTATAAAGGATACCTTTTTTATCCATTCCTCAGTTGATGGGCATTTGGGTTGTTTCCAAGATTTAGCTATCACCAATTGTGCTGCTCTAAACATGGGTGCACATATATCACTGGGGTATGATGTTTTCAGTTCTTCTGGGAAGATACCCAGAAGGGCAATAGCTGGGTCAAGTGGAACCTCCAATCCTAGTTTTTTGAGTAATCTCCACACTGATTTCTACAGTGGTTGTACCAGTCTACACTCCCACCAACAGTGGAGAAAGGCTCCTTTGTCCCCACAGCCCTGCCAGCATTTGTTATTGGTTGACTTCCTGATAGTAGCCATTCTTTCCGGGGTGAGATGGAATCTGTTTTAACTTGCATCTCTCAAATGACCAGTGATGTTGAACATTTTTTCATGTATTTATTTGCTGTTTGTATTTCATCTGAGAAGTGTAATTTTTTTTTTCTTGAGAGAGGGTGTCACTATGTTGCAGTTCATGCTGTCCTTGAACTCACTAGATAGCTCAGGCTGGCCTCAAACTCAGGCGATCCTCCTGCCGTGGCCTCCTTAGTGCTGGGATTACAGGTGTGCACCACCACACCCTGCTAAAAAAGTAAATTTTTTAAAGAGCTAAAGATATGTGATATTTTGAACCTGCTAATGATAACTTTTTCAAAATAATTTGCATTTTAGAGAGAACAGAAATACAATTCAGATCCTTGTTAGAGATTAGATTGTGTTTAATGGTAGCAATTCCCCTTTTTTACTTTGCTATTCCTCTTTTATATTTCAGTAGCAAAGGCAATGGACATTTGGTTGAACAAACCAGAAGAGAAGGCTTTGATGAAAATGTAAGATTTTAATTTTTTCTTAAGCATAAGTGGTAGCTTTAGTACAAATCCGCTTTTTAAAGTTTGATTAAAATTGCAGTGACTTGCTTTACTCAGAGCCCTCTGCCTTGGCACAGAAACCCTCAGAACCGAGACCCTTCCTCACACAGTACCCTGGTGCCCTCAGCCAGACTCTCTGGCCCTGCGGGTGCCCACTCATGGTAGAACTCCCACAGCGGTACTGGCTCTGCTAAGAGGGTTACAGCATTTTTCTCACATTCATTAATGTGGTGAATTAATGGTTTTTTGTATGTCAAAAGTTGCTGGGCGTGGTGACACACGCCTGTAATCCCAGTGCTGGGGAGGCTGAGGCAGGAGGATCGTTGCAAGTTTGAGACCAGCCTGCGCTACACAGTGAGCTCAAGGCCGACCTGAACTGCACAGCGAGACCATCTAAAATACAGTGGCAAAAAAAAGTTGTTCCAGGTACCAGAGAAAAAAAAAAAAAAAAAAAAAAAAAAAAAGTTATATTCAGTGTAAAATTTAAGGAATATACATGTGGAATATTTAAGGAATGGACACCCCGACACTCAACTCAAAAGGAAGAAACAGTACTGCTCTGCTTCTCAGTCACCTCCTTCCTACTTAAAAAAAAAAGTGCTCAGCAAGACAGCAGAGTTGGGAGACCACATTGGAAAAGCAAATGAATACTGGAATGAAGGTGTGGAGTGTAAAGTTACACAAATGGGAAGGATCAAGGTTGGATTAACTTTGCGGTGCTGGATTAGAACGATATTTTTTAGCTCTACCCACCAAGAGGGCTGGAAGAAACGGCACACTAGTAGCAGTTAGCACAACCATTACCCAGATGTGGTCTCCAAATACCATTCTACTCTAAAAGGAACCAGGGCTCCTTAAAGATGTTGCTAATTCTGGGCTAAGTGCAACATGCGTCTGGATTATCTTGTTGAACCAGACAATAACACATTCAAAGAATGATGGAGACCTGTTAAGGGATACAAGGTCAGCCAGAGTGGCTCAAACTAGCCACATTTGAGGTAACAACCTACTGAATAAATAGGATTTTATGAATATATTACTGATTTAAACATACAAATGAGTAAAAGTCTGAAGAGGAATGAGGTATTTACCTACATCTCCACAAAATAATTACAAAAAGAAAAATAGTAATGTTAGGGTACAGTCAGACTGACAGCACCTTAACTAAATATTCAAAGTGACATAAGTACTGGAAGAAATTTAAATCCTATGCTGAGAGGATGCCATGGAGCCAATGCGCCTTCTGTAACATCCCTATCTGAGATGTATAACCCTAATCTAATCACAGTAAAACTTCACACAAAACTACACTCAACAAAATAACCAGTCTGCATTCTTTATTTTTAAAAATGTTGTGTTTCGTTTTTTGAGACAGGGTCTCACTACGAAGCCCAGGCTGGCCCTACACTCTTGGCAATCCTGCCTCAACCTCCCAAGTGCTGGGATTATAGGTGTGCACCACCATGTCCTGCCTCTGAGCCTGTATTCTTTAGAAGTGTCAAGTCATGAAAATCAAAACAGAGGAACTATTCCAGATTGAAATTAAAATGACAAGTAATACAACACACAATCCTTGACTAGATCCCTTAGCCTGAGATTCTTTTTAAAAAAAATGTATAATAAACCTGAAATAAAACATGATGTGAAAGACTTTTACCTAGTTGTCAGTATGAGGCTTATCCAAGTAAAATTTGGATTTACTTCAGAGAAAAAATCAGGTTAGACTGATACTCAACACCATCAAAGAAAGAAAATGTAAGCCGAGAATTTCCATATCAAGACTGTGCTTCAAATTAAAAGGCTCACCAGGTGTGCTGGTGCACACCTGTAATACAGAATTACAGAGGCTGAGGCAGGAGTATCACCATCAGTTTAAGGGCTAGGGTATACAGAGTTCAAGGCCGGCCTGAACTATATAGTGAGACCCTGTCTCAAAGCACTTGAGAAACAAAGAATCATACATCAAGTCAGAATATTATTGTTTTTCTGAGGATTCTGCTACAGGATGAACTTCAGCCAACTAAGAGATAATTGGAGAAACTTCAGAAAAAGAATGTGCACGGCAGGAAGGTACAAGTGAAGAGGCTGGCTGTTTCGTAAGTTACAGTTAAAAAAAGTGATTTAGACTTACAACTAAGTCACGTAGAGTAATAAACTAAGAGGAAACAGCATATGTAAGAGCGTAACGGTAAAGATGTTTCCTCTGTTTTGCAGTCCTGGGGACTGAACCCAGTGCCTTACAAGGCAGCAGCAACTCCAGCCCCACCCTCTTTATCTTCGAATTCAGAACATGGGACAGGCTTCAATGTTTTTATGTTTTTTAAAGATTTCTCCCACAAATGTCTTGTAGTTTTCCTTATACAGGTCTTTTGCCTCCTTGGGTAAGTCAATTCCTAAGCAATTTATTCTTTAAAAAAAATGCCTATTGATTTTATAAAATACTGGATTCCACAGTGGTGTTACACATGCATATACCCTGCGTCCCCCCCCACTGTTCTCCATTATACCCCACCCCCTCCTCGTCTAGTAGTCACCCTTCTACTTCCATGTCACCACCTCAGATTCTACAGATCAGAAAACCCAGCCCCTCCCCGTCTTTCTAAATTCCAAAGCAATGTCTTGCTAAATTGCCTCTAAACTTTCAATCCTTCTGCCTCAGCCTCCCAGAGTGCTGAGATTACAAGCATGCACCTGGTCTGGTGTATTTTACTGATTTTTAAAAACATTTCTTTTTCAGCGTTTAATAATTCTGAAGCCAGAACATGTCTTATAGTTAATGATGTATTATAGTTCGATAAAATTTTTTCCTACATAGATTTAAAAATGGACAGCATCTCCCATATATAAAATATCTCTCAGATACAAAGAAATATGAAATATGGTATTATAATTTAGTAGAGGACAGGAAGATAAGGAAGAAGAATTAGAAGTTAATGCTTGTTGACGGTAGGAAGGAACCAAAGAAAGGAAGACCAATGTGGAAGACGAACAAGCTGGGCATGGTAGCTCTCACCTGTAATCTTAGCACTTGGGGAGGACAAGGCTGGAGGATGACGATCTCAAGTTCAAGCCTCACTGGCTCAACTTAGGAAGACTTTGTCTCAAAGTATAAAAAAATTAAAGGCTAAGGATGTAGCTCATTAATTCCTAGTACACACACACACACACACACACACACACACACACACACACACACAAATACATATATTCCTAAAAGGTAGAAGTAGCAAAACAGAAAACAAAATACACGATGACTTAAAAAAAAAGATATGTGTAAATAAACTTAATTTACTTAAAAAGGAAATATTTTACAGGTTGAATCACAAAACAAATCCAGTTCTGTGCTGTACCTTGAAATACATCCTTAAAGTGACTCAGAAATATTACATACAAAAAGAATTTTAGGGCCTGTAACTTAAATCAAAGTGGTAATTAAGACAAAAAGCTTTGAATCATGTGAAAGGAATATCATCATAAGACTAAGGTGGATTTTATTGTTTTATTGAGACAGGGTCTCACTATTCCAGGCTGGCGTTGAACTTGCAGTGATCCTCCTGCCTCAGCCTCATGAGTGCCAGGATTACAGGTGTGCACCACCATGCCCTCAAAAATGTGACTTTTAACAGTTACAAATATCTGCACAAAGATCACAGGAATACACAGAACAGATGAAGAAAACAAAGAATAAAGCAAACCAAAACAATGTAATGAATGAAGTAGTATTATCGTTACATATTAAATTTTGTACTCTCAGAAGACATATCTCACTTATAAAACTTACCCAAGTTAAAAAAAAAAGGGGGGGGGCTGGAAATATAGTTCAGTGGCTTAAGTGCTTGCCTGGCAAGTGCAAGGTCCTGAGTTCGATTCCTGATACCTCCCCACCAAAAAACAAACCAATTTACCCAAGTAAGCTGATCTACTGGACCACAAAAACTCAATAAATTCTTAAAAAGGAAACATTTAAACATAGTAAAACTATAAAATAATAAAATTTTAAAAAAGAAAATTCTGGCTGGGTGCGGTGGTGTATTTCAGCAATCCAGCATTCTGGTAGGCAGAGTCAGGAGGATCACACGTTCAAGCCCGGCTTGGACAACTCAGTGAGACTGGCTCTAAATAAGTAAATGAGGAAGTGGGGGGCATGCTTGATGAAAAAGCTTAAAACCCTATTAAACAACCCTTGAATAAAAGATATAAAAAATGAAATCACAGAATTCCTAGAAAACAAAATAACAGAAACATTATAAAACTATGAGATAAAGTCAAAGAATACCGAGATTGAGCAAGTGTCTTAAATTTATCAATAAAAATACGAAATAAAAGTGGCAGGCATGGTGGCACATGCCTGTAACCCTAGCACTCAGGAGGCTGAGACAAGAGGATCACCATGAGTTCAAAGCCAGACTGGGCTATATCGTGGGTTCAAGTTTAGCCTGAGCTACACAGTGAGATCCTGTCCGAAAAAACCAAACTAAACCAAAAAAGAAAAGAAAAAAAATTATCCAAAAATGGTGAGAACAGAAAAGCAATAAATAAGGATAAAAGTAGAATGAGTTATAAACCAAAAAATGTACAAAATAAATAAGGCCTGGTTCTTTGGAAAGATAGTGGATCTAGTGGAATAAAGGTTAAAAGAGTAAACATACAATTACAATAGAGGAAATAAAATGATTAAAAGATCCCACTAAGATTTTTGTATAAAAGAGCCATCAAAGAGCCATCTCCAAAATCAGAGTTTCATAAGAAAATTCTATGAGATTGTAAGGAACGAGTAATTTCAAGTTTTGTAAGCCACATACGTGTTCTCTGAATTAATAGGAGATTCGAAGACCTGAGCAGAGGAAAAAATCGAGAGAGAAACTTGAGGAAAAGTGTTATTCCTCAGATATTCAGAATGACGACCAGCCTGTCACTCAACAAGAATTTCGCGAGTAAGCACCTCTTATAACCGGGCTACTGTGAGACACCACAGAGTAGAGACTGAGGACAGAAGTCACAATTTTAGACCCTTAATCTGTTGGGATGCCATTGTTCTTTTTGTCCTACTATCCAATTTTAAAATTAAACCACATGGCTCTATTTTAAAGAGACCTACACTTTTTAACCTTACACTTCTAAATGACAGAAACTGCCATTTATATTTGACATGCACAGCAGATACTGTTCTCCACATAGCTTTAGAATGCCAGAGGTACAACCAGCCAAATAAAAGCACGTTTTAGGAGCGTACCATACTGCCTCCCCTAACAAGCATTAATAACCTTGTTTTTATAGTGTATTAATTATTTACTAACAATGTCTAAATTATCTTCTAGACTCTTTTTATATGCTGTAGAACTGGAGAAAGAATTACAGTGTATCAGTTTAAAACTTAACCGAGTGATGGGAAAATTTTCAGCTCTACAATACTAAGTGAAGGTAAGAATTGTGAGACAGTCATGGAGCATGTCTAACAAAGATTTCTTCATATATTACCTAAACCTTTCCCCACTTCAGACTCACTTTAAATGCATTAAACCAGCCAGGCATGGTGGTTTAATGTCCTAAACTTACCACTCTGAGGGCTGAGGCAGGAGGATCACAAATTCCATCCCAGCCTGGGCAATTCAGTCATCGAGATACTTTCTCAAAACAAAAAGGGCACACTTGGAGGCTAAGGTAGGAAGACTGCTGTGAGTTCAAGGCCAGCCCAAGCTATGTAGTGAGACCGTCTCAAAAACAAAAACAAAAAAGACTGAGGATGTAGGGCAGTGTGAAGGCCCTGGGTTCAGTTCCCAGTACTGCATAAGAACAAAACATTAAACCACCTATCATCAAAGTTTGGCCAGGGTCAGTTAATGATCAGACGCTTCCCAGGAAAGAAGTGCCACTGAGTGGAACCTACACTCTATAAACGTTGGGGAGGTAGCTCAGTGGCAGACAGTGCTTGCCGTGCATGCACAAGGCTCTGGGTTCGATCCCCAGCACCAAAAGCTCCAACCCCCCTACAAACCCAATTCACACGGTACAATGTGCCCTCCTCTATACACACTAGTGCACACGTAATAATTTTGAGGTCTACTACTAAATTCTAGAATGTGAAGGGAGAGTATAAAATAATGCTTTTATTTCATAGGGAAGATCTCTAATAGTTCAATAAGTATGTGGACAAAGCGTTTGCAGAGGACATGAAATGTTGATGCTTTTAAGTGTCATGTTCTCGCTTCCTCTGGCCACAGATAAATGAGTAAAAGCTTTAGTGTAACTATTATATATGACCCAAGTAAAAGAATTTCCCTCCATTCTTCAGAATTTGAAGTCTCCTGCAAAAAAAGTGTAAAAGATCCAAGTACGTATAGAAATTTCACTAATATCTTCAAACTGGAAATTCATCTACTTTCTCAAGTAGCACATTTGAGACAGGGTCTCCCTGTGTTGCCAGGGTCAGTTGGCCTCCAGGCACCCATCTGCCTCAGCCTCTGGAGCAAATAACTTTTAAATTACTACCTCGCCAGGCCAGACTATTCTCTCAGAAATTATGCATCACGCTTTCTTCATGGACTAATTCATTTTAACAATAAACACCAACTCTCCTCTCTGCAGCTTTTCCCTGCCTTCCTGTGGCCGGCCACATCACTCAGTAACACTGACACCCTGAGTGGGGTAATTCCTACCTAAGTAAGAAAAGGGAACATGTGACAGCTAACTTTTTAAACACCTACTGGAAAAACATACATTTACAATTACTTAGAACATGGAAGTTCTTTTATTACAGAAGTCTATACAACGAAGTGCCGCAGTAATGCAATTAATAGACAGATGTATCTATATAATACTTGCATATACAGTTTTCATTTGTACCAAAGTAAAACTACCATAAACCCCCTAGTTCTATCACCTACTGCTCAACTATAACATAATACGTCACACAGTGTAAGTGCTGCCACGTCCCACTTACCTACTCTACTCACAGCCAAACATGAACACTGAATGGCCAACAGCACGAAGTACCTGTTAATTCTAAAACAAAACCAGCGAGGCCAATGACTTATAAAAATAGGTACTCAAATAGATTTAGCATTATAAAGAAGGAATATATTATTTAAAACATTTAAATAGTGCATATGGGATTTCTGCATGTAGTATATAAAATATTCATAAAAACAATAAACAGTACACATAAAACTAGATGTTACACTACTACAGAGAGACCAAATGAGGTAAATGTACACATGAAGGAGGCAAATCAAAGTGATACACCTTTTGGCATGTTCAATTTTACTTACGAGTAACATTATGAATAACCTACATATATCAAAATGAAACACACAAGAAAGGCTGGATTTAGTGCTTTTTTAATTCCTCCATTACACATTCACTACCACTGGATTGCCTCCCCTTCCCCGCAAAAAGGCATTGCACACACAGGTGAAATGTGAAGTACTAGAAACACTTATTCATTATCAAGCTACTTCATGTGCTTAACTATGTAATAGTGCCAGAAGTTTGAGGTTCATGCTTCCCTCACCTTATTAAATAATGTTGCAAAATTCCATTTCTGTATGAAACAAATTTTAATATTAGCTAGTTAAGAAAACCATGCATGAATTGTTGCATGCAAATCATGAGCACAAAGTGAGGCACTCATCAACCCAAAAGCACCAGGAAAAAAATTAACACTTAGATAAGTCTGTTGTATTGTTAACACAAGTGAAGTCACCATTCCGTAAAATGATTATCAGGATACCAAGAGTACCTGAAGAAAAGTCATGCAAAGCCAAACGAAAAAAGATGTTAAGAGTGGCTGGCCAGGGGCATACCACCACACATACTGTAAACGGCTGCTTGAACACAATGTGATTAAGCAAAAGGTGGTCTTTTTAGAGGGTGTTTCATTGTACGGGTTTCACCAATTTAAAGAGAAAAAGAAAAAAAAGATGCAGCCCCCTGAAGTTCATGTAAAAATGCAGTGGTATAGCCCTTGTTATGAACAGATTTACCTAGGCATCATGATTTCCAATTTAGGCCCATTTGATGAAACACAGAAATCTGAGCACCATCAGAGTTCCTGCATACTGACGTGGCTGTTTTCTCACATTATCTGGAGGTGATTGGGGGAATAGCCCAGAATCCGATCCAGACAAATGTATCAGCCGAGAAACTGTAACTTAGGACCTGACAGTAACTTACGTCCTATAGGCAGCATGTGGTATGATTTAGTTCTGTGTGTGATGTGTGGTATGTTTCAATAGGCTAGCCAAGGTCACTTTTTGGTCTACCTAATGTTATCTTCGTCCAAGAACTGTGTGACCACTGAATTGCAAAATTTTGCTAATATTCTACCCGTGACGTGTCACTTTGGGAATTAAACAGAAAGGTGTTCCACAGTAGGACTTGTAATCTCAGTTTGATTTTGGTTTTCTAGGAAAACAGAACACAGTTGCATATGTGCACTTCTATAAGCTTTTCTTTCAAATTTTCAGTCATTCTGTAAGAAAAAGGCAACCGAAGAGTTCAGTATGAAGCTTTTCCTCTCAATTTTCTTCAGTAATGAAAAAAAAAAAAGGTAGTAACAAAAAGCTTTGTATTTCCGAAGTTCTTGAAGTTGAAAGGATAAATTGTAGTCTTTTGCTAATAGGATGTGTTGGGAGTACAGAACAATGAAGGAGACTGCATGTTTGCTGATGGTGGAGAGGACAGTCTGTGTTGTGTGTGGACCATCACCCACGCTCCCTGTGAGGGCCTACTCACCCCCCCTCGCTTGCTTAGCGGCACCACAGCCAAGTACAGCTGAGACTCTGAGTGCCTGAGAAAGTGAACGCAAAGACCAGCCAAGGACACATGATGATGGCGTCAAGGGACACAACTGACTTTATGATGTGACTTTGCAAGGAGCGCATTTTATATGGATTTTGAAGAATCTTGTTTGCTGATAAGAACTTCAAGAAGTCTGAGCTTGGCTTTAATTTTCTTGTATTCCCTGTATTCCTCAAGCACTGGAACACGATCCTCTTTCTGGGCATTCCTAGGAGAGAAAAAAAATCTGTAACACTCTCTACAGACCACCTGGAAAATAGCCTCAGAAGTTGTTCTAAATATGAGATACAGTGGCACTAATTATAAATTCAAATAAAAAGTTGCTTGATTAATTTCTTATCCCCAAAGTTACTAGACTAATCCATCCCCAAAGAACACTGCTAAAATACTGTACAACCTTTTTTTTTGTCTTTTTGAGACAGGGTCTCGCTATGCAGTTCAGGCTGGCCTTGAGCTCACTTTGGAGCCCAGGCTGATCTCGAACTCACAACGATCCTCTCCTGCCTCAGCCTCCTGAGTGCTGGGATTTAAGGCGTGCGCCACCACACCCAGCTAATACTGTACTATCTTTGATGGGTGTCTCTGCTAATAAGATTAAGTAATGCCATACAATGTTACACTTCCTTTATCAGTGATGAGTGTAGAAAATCAGAAGTAACCCAGTTATTTTAGTAAGAAATTACTGCTAGACTCTGCTGGGTCTGTATCTCTTTTAAGTTCCAGAAAGCCACAATGAACCACTATATCCAAGGAGTAAACTGTGGCTCCAGTGAATTAACATAGGTAAGTAAACCATCACCCCTGTAACAAAAGGGTAGTTCACTAACTTTATATTAATGACTATTCAGTTTAATCACTAGCTAAAGCCCTAAATCCTTCTAAGCATAATTATAAATGAAATTTTCTTCCAATATATAAAGAATGCTGGGTGTGGTGGGGCACACCTGTAATCCCAGCATTTGGGAGGCTGAGGCAGAAAGAGTAATGTGAATTCAAGGCCAACCTGAACTACTCTGTCTCCAAAAAAAAAAAAAAAAATCACAAATAAAAAACCAATAATATTGAACAAGTACTAATATTGAAGGAATTGAATATTAAATTGAATACTGAGTATTAATATTGAAGAAAATGAATACTGAAGAAATTAAAGGCACTCAGAAAATGCACTTATGCATTTCAGATTTTCTTAATTGTATATGCAAACCTACACAGGAGACTCTCAAAGCAGAAGAAATGAATTTAAAGTGAACTAGTTTTTGAATTTGCATTGGGGCAATTGGTTTAGTAAAACCACCTAGTTATATTTGGAAAGCTTTTCTGAGGTTTAAGATAATTTAACTAATTTCTGCCACCACACGAATTGGAATGTATTTTTCTTTTATTTTTAAAGAGTTCCCCAACACAGGGGTGCATTCTTGTAAGGGAGGCTGAAACATAAAGATTACAAGTTCCAGGGCAGCTTGCATTACATAGCGAGACTCTAAAAAATAGATTAATCAATAAATAAGAGGTCAACTATGTATACCGATAAAATAAAGGCACATGCCATAGTGTTTTACCAGAGCCACATACAGTGGGGAACCCTGGTTCACGAATGCTTCTGTTTGCAAACAATGTGGCTCATCAACAGAAGTGGCAAAATTTTGTTTTTGTTTCTAAACTCTGCATGGAATGACAAACACAACCACAGCCCTCTTTCCCACAAACATGGCCATCTTTCCCAAAATCGTAGAATAAATTAAGTTCATGAACCAAGGTACCATTTATATTGTCTCACACCTTCAAAATGTGCAACCTGGGATGGCCTAAATACAGCCAAAACATAATGGTCTCACTGTAAAAATTAAGAATCCAACTGGACCTAGTGGTACACACCTGTAATTCCAGCACTTTGGAGGCTGAGGCAGGAGGATCACTGTGAGTTCAAGGCCAGCCTAGACTACAAAGTGAGTTCAAGACCAGCCTGAACTGCACAGTGAAATTCTGTCTCAAAAAAAACAAAACAAAAAAATCCAAGCTAGTTGAAAATACTACTAGTACTGGAACCTTTCCAAAAAAGAAAAACATCTCATTTCATAAGCACTTCTTCAGGTGAGGATATAGAATTAAGGAACATAAAATCATTGTAGGCGAGGGCTGTAGATCACTGGCAGAGTGCTTGTCTAGCATGAGTGAGGCCCTGAGGGCGACACTCAGCACAGGGGTAGGAGATGGGTGGGTGGCCCACTGCAACTCAACCAAGACTCCCTAGACAGTGGTGGTGAACCTACAGCACATGGGCTGTTTGTTATCACTGAAAGCTCTAAAAGGTTTGCCGTGACGCCCTAGGATAACCTTAAAATTATTTTTATGGCAGTACTGGGGGTTGAACCCAGGAGTCCTCTACCACTGAGCGAACACCCTTTCTATGTTTTACTTTGAAACAGGGTCTCACTAAGTCACCCAAGGTGGCTGTGAACTTAAAATGCTTCTGCCTCAGCCTCCTGAGCCATCATACCTAGCCAGCCTGGAAATATTTTGTTAGATGGTGGTTTACTTCAGCTGTGACTTTTCATTGCCATTAATAGCAAGCAAGACTTCAGAACATAAAGAAATGTCATAAAATTGTATTTTCAATGCCATAATTTATTTCTAATCCACTATATTCCACTATTTTAACTCATAAGCATTTTGTGAGCTAATGGAGATAGATGACTGTTTTGTGATATTCAACAAACCTTCCATTTTGTTGATAAAATGCTTCTTCAAATTCCCGTAATGTTCTACGTAGTTTCTTTTTTTCAGCTCTGGCTTTCCAAAGTTGTTCCAGTAATTCAGGCCTAAAATTGAAATGGAGGAAAACCATTACCGAAAGGACAAAGCTGACTCGTTATAGTCTTAATAGTAGTTCTAGTCCTAGCTCAAATTAAAATCAGCTGGGGAGCTTTTAGTGCAAATTAGTGCCAGACTCTACCCCAAACCAATTAAACAGACTAGCTGAAAACAGAGCTCAGCATCAGCTCTTAAAAAAAAAAATCTTGCCAGGTGTGGTGGTACACACCTGTAATCCCAGCACTTGAGAGGCTGAGGCAGGAGGATCGCTGTGAGGCCAAGGCCAATTTAAACTACATAGTGAGACACTGTCTCAAAAAAAAAAAAAAAAGCCAGGTGTGGTAGTGCGTGCTTGTAATCCCTGTACTAGGGAGGCTGAGGCAGGAGAACTGCCATGAGTTTGAGGCCAGCCTGGACTATACAGTGAAACCGTCTCATTAATTAATTAATAAATAAATAAATAAGTAAAGTAAATAAAAAAAAAATAAAAATAAAATGAAATAACACACGCACACACATGGGTTGGGTATGATGTAGCTCTGGTTTCAATCCCCAGTATGGAGGATGTCTTCCTACTTGATTGCAAAGTATAGTCAGCATTCAAGAACCTGTCATAAACCATACAGTCTCTAGAAGAGACTATGTACTACACTACATACACAGCCTTTGGTACTCACTGTGTACTATAAACATCTATGTACTACAAACACCTAAACAATTATATCTTATTATCAACATGTCAACTCAGATGGCTCCTATACTCTGTTACAAACATAAGGGTTTTTAAAAAAATTTTGAAACACTATATTCAATAAAGAAAATGAGAATGACAGCATGTATTTATAAATTGCACTTTATAAGGGAATATCCCTTGATTATTTCTTGATTAATCTCTTGTATTAATCTCTCCAAGTGCTCAATTACTTAACATAGAATTTCCTGGCATGTAAATTTTGTTAAACAAATAGGCTAAAATCACAAACCAGCCTACATACATAGAAGCTGCTCGAGTACTTGACAATCGGAGATCTAGAGCCAGGTTTTTATTTTCTTCAGGATCAGATTCTGAGTTTTCCAATGAAGACTGTGCCTGTATAGCTGTTTTCAAGATATCATTTAATTCAGAGGACAGACTAATACCATCTTCTTCTTCTTCCTAAAAAGATATTCAAACAGAAAACCAAACAGCCCTGACTTGCAACTTTTCCTTTAGGAAAGAGATTAAGAGAATGAGTTCTCTAAAGGATTACCTTGATTTCTTCAAAAAAATGTGCAGTTTCTCCTTCTATGATTGGCTGTAACATCTGACCTCTTCTTTTGGTGGAGGGAGATCCCTGTTAACCAATAACACATTTTATATTAAAGTACCTACTTAGGAAGTTTTACTTGTTACAGGGGAACTTTATTTAAAGCATGTAGCTTTAATTATTTTAGAAGTTTCTTAATTTGTTTGCTTCCTTTCGCTTACATTTATGCATAAGTAATAAATAATTTATGCCTAGAAAAGGCTAAAAGATAATGGAGGGAGAGGAAGGGAAGGGGAAATAAAAAGAATTAAGATGTGTTAGGTACATGTACCAACTCCCCACAATGAAGATAATCACTATGTACTACAAACACCTACATGAAAGTTTTTAAAAAAATTTAGATTCAATAAGTATTTTTAAAGTTCTAAATAACAAAGCATTATCTATAGTTTAATAGGAAGTATTTTTCTTTTAAAAAGTAACTGGTAACTTTTCTGGTCCAAGGACCCTTCTGAACATTTTTGTAAGAGTTTTAAGATATAATTATATGCCGCAAAATTCATCATTTAAAAAACGTACAGTTCTGTCACCACTATCTAGTTTTGGAGCCTTTCATCATCCCCAAAGAAACCCTGTGCTCCTGGATGTGGTGGTGCACATCTGCAACCCCAGCACTCAGGGAGAGTACCACTGGGGGCAGGAAGATCACAAGTTTGAGCTCAGCATCGGCAACTTAGCAAAACCCCCATCTCAGAAAAAAATAAATTTAAAAAAGGGCTGAGGATAGAGCTCAGTGTGAAGGCTGTGGGTTCATTCTCCAGAACTGAAAAAAATAAGACAAAATAAAACACTTGTGTTCATTAGCTGTCACTCCTTTGCTTTCTCCACTATCCCTCAGTACACACTATTCTGTCTGGATGGATTTGCCTATTCTTAGTATTTCATATAAATACATACTATGAGGTCTTCTGTATCTAGCTTCAAGTCAGCAAAATGTTTTCCAGGCGTATCCAAGCCTTAGCACACACAGACCCATGCTTCATCACTCACTGTTGAACAGTATTTCAGTATAGGGATGTATCATATTCTATCCACTCTTCAGGTGACAGAAACCAGGGCTGTTTCCACTTCCTGGCTGTTATGAACAATACTGCTGTGAACGCTTGGGTACAAGATCTGCGTGGACATAGGTTTCCACTTCTCCTGGTTATCTATCTAGGGCAGCAGCCGCTGGAGCACACAGCAACTCTAAACTGAACCTTTTGAGGAATTGCCAAACAACGGCTACACCACTTTATATTCCCACCAACAATGTATGAGGGTCCCAATGTAGTCACATCCTCACCAACATTACCTGTCTTATTCAACATGGTCACACTGGTGGATATGAAATGGTATTTCAAGGTGTTTTTTACTTGCATTTCCCTAGTGACTATGGATGCTGAACATCTTCTCGTGTGCTTATAGACCATTTATAAATCTCTGTTCTCCTCTATAAATGTCTGTTCCTGTATATCTCTGAGTTGTAAGAATTTTTCAGTGTATTCTGGATACAAATCCTTAATCACATAAGTCACTTGGAAATACTGTCTTGCATTCTATGGGTTGTCTTTTCACATGTGTGCTTTGCTATAGATATGTGTCCCATTTACTTTTCTTTTGTTGCTTCTGTTTCTGATGCTGTAGCTTTATAATACTGCCTATCTCAACATCATAAAGATTCATTCCTATGTTTTCTATGAGTTTTATAGTTTTAGCTCTTACACTTTGGCCTATCATCCCTTCTGAGTTAGCTTTCACCTGTGGTATGAGGTAAGGTCCTAGCACCATTCTTCTGCATGTGGATATGGAGTTGTCCTCATACCACATGTTGAAAAACTCTTCTGGCTGGGCGTGATGGCACGTACCTATAATCTCAGCACTTGGGAGGCTAAGGCAAAAGGATTGCCACAAGTTCAAGGCCAGCCTGGACTACATAGTAAGTTCAAGGCCAGGCTGAGCTACAGAGAGATCCTGTCTCAAAAACCCCCCGAAGTAAAAAAACAAAACTGTTCTTTCCTACTGATTTTATTTTAGCTTAACTTTTAGATTCGAAATTTCTCTTTACAATAGTTATATTCGGGCTGGGGAACTATCTTATAGATAACAATATGTAAAACAATAACCATTGATAATTTCCTACCACTTTGTCTAAAAAAAAAAAAAAAAAAAGAGATACAATAGTTATATTCAAGAGTCTAAACAACATTGAAATGTTTCTACGGACTCAGTTTTAAAGACAGGCCAGGCACAGTGATGCATGCCTGTAACCCCAGCACTTGGGAGGCTGAGGCAGGAGGCTGAGGCAGGAGGCTAAGGCAGGAGTTTCTGGCCAACCTGAACAAACCCTGTCTCAAAAAGACAAAGGGGAGGGGAAGGAAAGCAGGCAGACATGAGAATTGTAAAATGGGTTTTCCATAAAGAACTTCAAGGAGGGCAACCCATTTGGGACTCCTGTCTCTGAGGAGCTATTACCTATTCCCCATTTCTCTTCTCCAATAAATTTTCCTACTCTTAAAAAAAAAAAAACGAACTTCAAGGAGTATATATGCTATCACGAAATTAGGAAGTGAAATGTCAGGGATATGTAAAATACCTTGCTACCCTATCAGAATAAAATTTGTATTAAATAAACTATCTTTTTGGACAGGGTCTCACTCTGCAGTTCAGGCTGGCCTTGAGTTTACTTTGTAGCCCAGACTGGTCTCAAACTTGCAATGATCCTCCTGCCTCAGCCTCCCAAGTGTTGGGATGACAGGCATGAGCCACCACACCCAGCTTAAATGCATTTTCTTAGGTGAAAATATATACCCTACAGGAGTCTTTGTTAAAAGAAAATATATTAAGTAAAATTGTGGAAAGGCGTAACAGGATTTCAAGGCCAGCCTGGAAGGCTAGGTGTGGTGGCTCACAACTGTAATCCCAGCACTCAGGAAGAGACTGACACAAGAGGATCACCAGGACTTGGAGGCCAGCCTGGACTACATAGTGAGTTTAAGGCCAGTCTAAACTACATAGTGACACCATCTCTCAAAAAAAAAGAAAGAAAAGAGAAGAGAAAAAAAAAAAACTGGGCATGGTGGCACACACCTGTAATCCTAGCACCCAGGAGGCTGAGGCAGGAGGATCGTTGTGAGTTTGAGACCAGCCTGGGCTACAAACGTGAACTGAAGGCCAGCCTGAACTGCATAGCAAGACCCTGTCTCAAAAAGACCAAAAAAAAAAAAAAAGAAAAAAAACCAGCGAAACACCAATACCTTGGCCAATTAAAAAAAATGAGTTAACATGATAGCTAACTAAAAAGTGCTCAGAAGGTGAATGTAAACCTAGTATTAGTAATCAGGGCAAAGAAAATCCTCCTCAAAGTGCATAGTCTGAAAACGGAAACAAACATAAGCTCTAGTGAATTAACTCCTAGGAAATAATGCAGAATTGTGCCCAAAAGAAATCTATTTACGCACTAATGGTTAATTAGGAAAAAGCGCTTGATTAGCATGTAAGTATTGTAGTTTTTTTTCTTTTAAACAACCTACATCAAGGCTGGTGTGGCAAAGCACACCTGTAGTCTGTTATACTGGGAGCACACAAGTTTAAGACCAGCCTAGGCAACATAATGAAACCCCATCTCAAGAAAATAAACGAAATAAAAACAAAAACTAATATGAGTAAGCATTATTTTAGTAGACTTTGTCCTATTAAAAAAGGTATTCTGAGAAATCCATTTATGTTACAATGCAACTGGATGATCATCATCATTGTGACCACCACAAAACTGACGTATTTTCGAAGACATGACTGAAATGGAAAGAAACTAGGCAAAGCATCTGAAATATAAACTTTTTATTCTACTTCTGTCACAGAGCAGGTAACTTGGGCAAAATTACCACCTAAACCACAATTTCATCCCCTGGGAAATGAGACTACCGTATTCTACCTTGTGATTTTACTTATCAGAATCTAATCACACAAATCTATATAAAAATGCTTACCAAAGTGCCTGGAAATAACTGTAGGCAGTTCTTAAGATTCCTTTTTTCTTTCTTTTTTTTTTTTTGGTGTTTGAGACAGGGCTTCATTAAGCAGTTCAGGCTGGCCTTGAAATCACTTTGTAGCCCAGGCTGGCCTCAAACTCTTATGATCCTCCTGCCTCGGCCTCCCAAGTGCTGGGACTACAGAAGAGCACTGGGATTACAGGTGTGTGCCACCACTTCCTACATCCTATTTTTTTAAAATCAGCCTCAACTTGCCATTACATTCTTTCTACCTTGGCTAAGTATTTCTCCAGTAAGCCACCAAAGTATTTTCTGGAGGGGGGGGGACCAACTACATCTTGATAAAATGAACTAGAGAAACATTGCTTATTTTACTTACAAGGATAGGAGTGATGCTAGCTCTTGTCAGCATCTGTTTTACAAGCCTGTATCTATCATAGAGAGGTTTAACAATGTGCCTTTCTTCCCTTGTCACCTGAAGCCAAAGAAAAAGGGAAGTCACCTAGTCATCAGGAATCTAACATAAAGTAATATGATCCCCCAATTTAAAAGTGTATATATAATAAGTACATAATCTCTCAAATGTAGGAAACAATGTATAAAACAGCTCTGAAGAATGTGGGCCATACAAGTGATTGATGCTCTTTTTTTTTAAGATAGAAAATCGAGTCTTTTTAGCAAAAGAAACATTACCGGCCTTCCATGTTGACTTTCATAGTAAAGAAGACTTTTCTGGAGAGAAGTTTTCTCTTCTACCAAATGATCTTTTGTCATTTTCTAGAATTAAGGGAGAAAAAAAAATCTGCATCATTAATATTCTTCTTCTCCTACAGTGTAACTGGTTACAGATTACTATCACCAGACTATCGAAGACTAAAAACGCAGGCGCAGGCACCCAGGAGAAGGGGACCTGGCACCCAGGAAGCCACGCGGTGGGTGTGCCGGCCTTTGGGCCAGCTCCCAGCCGTGCAGGCGCCCAGGATGCTGCAGGAAGCTGCACGGTGGTGTGCACTGGCTCTCAGGCCAGCCGCTGCCACACGATCGAGAACTATCATGGCATAGAGAAGCAATGACACAATTGGCCCACCACATGCTGGCTGTGGAGGCCCACCCGCGGACATGCGTGAAGCATTCCGACATGGAGAAATCCCTGAGAATACATTCCACACGAGTCGCTCTTGCCCCTGCTGTTGAGAACCAGAAAGGTCCAGAGTCAGTGGAGGAGCAGCTGTTGCACAGGACTCGGAGAACATGAGAATACAGACTAGGCCTGAAGACTCAGAGGTCTAGTTGACTGGGGTCACGAGAGCCGTTCAGAAGCTGGAAACCAGGAGGACCTTGCGCAATACCTGGGGAGACCCCCTGGAAGCCATTCTTCCCCTGACAGTACCAGCTGTGGTGGACGAGTGTGTGGAGCTCCAGAGAGGTCTGCACTGAGATTCCTGCTGCCTGTGCTGACAGTTGGACACTAAGTGGTTGTGGGGTCCCAACACAATGGGAGGCTGGAGAGAAAAAACTACAAAAAAATGGCTTTTGCCCCAGATGGCTCACTTGAGATGTAAGAATTGCCTCCTCAGTATTCTATAGCTGTGACGAGGAGGCGGCCAAGGGGAGAAAACAAAGAGACTGAGAAAAAGCAGCTGCTTTCACGGCAGCACTAAGAGAAACAGACCCTAAGTCTGATTCTCGGGGCCCCAAGAAGAACTCGACAACTACATTCGTGTGCTACTACTGTTAAAAGCCAGGCCACCTCAAGAAGAACTGCCCTAAGAAGCCCCCTGGGCCATGCCCTGCATGCAAATGAGACCACTGGAGATCGGTCTGCCCTCTGAAGCAGGGGCCCCAGAGCTCAGACCCATCCTATCAGTTAGTCCAACAGGAATGAGGGGGCCTGGGGCATACTCTGCCATCTCTGTGGAGGAGCCTTGGGTAATCATGACTATGGAGGAAAAGGAAACAGCCTGTTGCTAGACACAGGTGCAAGTCTCTCGGTCCTTCTTTTCCAATCCTGGCCTTCCTTCCAGCCATCACGCCTCAGTGAAAGTCACTGATGAGGAGGTAATATGCTATTTTTCACAACGCTTAGGCTGTAACTACTTATTAGATCCTTCTTGCATATCTCTGTCTTCCCAAGAAACCACTCTGAAGATACCACCATGTATTACAGCAGCCACTGACATTTTCCTACTAATCTGCCCATAACTCTGTAATGTTTGTATTATTCCTATGCTATTTTGTAAATGGATGTATGTTTATTATTATATGTTTCCTACAACAACCATTGAGAATAGTTGATTATTCAATTCATGTATATAGCTCTATTTATTTTCTTTAGAAGCCACTTTGAAGATACCATAGTACAACAACTACTGATAATCTCCTACCTGTTTTATCTGTAACTCACTATTATTTGTCTATTTGTTTTCCTGAGAAACTATCTTGTAGATAACAATATGTAAAACAACCACCATTGATAATTTCCTACCACTGTGTCTGTAATTTGGTAAGCTCCCCCGCTATTACTATGTTATCCTTCTTTTATTCTTTAAAATAAAATTTAAAAAAAAGACTAATAATGCATTCTTTATTTATGGATTTGTAACATTTTTCAGTCTCCTACAGAATTCGGTCCTTTAATGTGTAGGTGCCAACCCTTTTTGACAGCTTGATTTGTATTTTATTTGAGTAAGTTAGGAATACTGGCTTGGGTAAGTTACTTCTTCATATTCAATGTCCTATGGGAATACTTCAGTCCACTTCAAGTGGCTTGAATGAAGACTAATATATGTACCACAGTGTCTACCACCCAACACACAGTAAGCATATATAACTGTTATTTTACTTAAATGTTTCACAGTCTGTACACACATACTCCATGGATATGCATAGGTTTTACAACCCAATATGCCTCCTAAGCTACTAAGAAAATCTTGCAGCAGTATAATAAAGACCCAAGAAAAAGCTCAACGATGAAAGCTTAGTAATGTCAATTTGTGACTTTATAGACTTCTATATGACTTGTTTCCTTTTATCTGTGCCGATACATTTTTTATACAGCAATATATATATATATATCATCTCTCTCAAAATTCTTTTTTTTTTGGTCTTTTTGAGACAGGGTCTCACTTTGTAGCCCAGGCTGGCCTCAAACTTGCAGCAATCCTCATGCCTCAGCCTCCCGAGTGCTGGGATTACAGGCGTATGCCACCATGCCCAGCTCTCAGAGTTCTAAATAATATGGTAGGTAGAACTCTCCAAATTTATTTGTTCACAGACGCTTTTCCTTTATGCCATAGGATCACCTATTACCATCTCTTTTTTTTTTTGTCCTTTTTTTTTGACGCAGGGTCTTGCTACGCAGTTCAGGTTGGCACAGGCTGGTCTCAAACTTGCAGTGATGCTCTCCCGCCTCAGCCTCCCGAGGGGTGGGATTACAGGCATGCGCCACCATGCCCGGCTTTTAACCTATTACCATCTCAGTGAACGAATGTTCCACAGAAAACCTTTCAGCTATAGCAAAACTCTACTATCTCTAGGATAAGAGTGAAAGTAAAGACTAAAAACAAAAAAATTCATTGGATAATATCTTCCTGTAACAAATATCACTTTATCTATCTATCTATCTATCTATCTATCTATCTATCTATCTATCTATCTATCATTTTGGCACCAGGAACTGAACTCAGAACCTTGCACTTGCCAGGTAGGCACTTTTCCCCTGAGCTATTATCCCCGGCCCATTTCACTTTATGTATAATGTGTCAACTCACCATTACCTGGACTAAAGATCACCAGAAATTGTTTACCTTCTCACTCCCCCAGTACATCTCATCTGATACATGATTTGGGTTGCCAAGTGCTTTGACTGGCACCGCCGTAGGCACAGGCTTTACTGAGTAACAGTTCTTCAAATAACGTAATTCCCTGGGCTTGTAGTGGTATGGCACTTTCTAGTATGCATGAAGCCAGACAAGCCCTGTGTTTAACCTTCAGCACCATCAAGAAAATAAAAAACTCAAACAAAAACAGAATTTCATTTAATTGCTGTAACAAACCACGTTAGCATTTTTTAATAGACGTAATCATATCTATGCACATCAGAGAGTTAGTGACAGACCGAGGGGCAAGATGTATATAATCTAACTTATCAATGTCTGGCATAAGCTAAGCACTCAGTACATACAACTACCACATTCAGACTTAGCTCTGTTTCACACTCTTTAGATGCTCATCTTGCCAACTGCCTGCCATGTAAAAGAACCAGTCAGACCCTAGCTTTTTTGTTTCATTATAAAAGATTTGGCACGTACTTCTGCTATGTTGAGAAACACACATTTCTGCATCTGCAAACTTGGGGAGACAGGCCAGTCACATTACCTAGACATCTCCATCCTGCTATAGTCACTACTTCACTTCAAGGATTTTAAAGGCTCATCTGGACAAAAATCTTAGTCTAACATTACCTTGATATCTTCTGGAAGACATCTCTCAATACGTTTTTCCTTCAGTTTTTTCAGAATAAATTCAAGGGTTGCTTCCTTTGATGGTTTTTTCTCCTTCTGAATAGCTCTGGATTCCTCCTCACTTGCTTCACCTTCATGGTCTAGAGAAGAGCCAAAACTTTTTGGAAGAGTGTTACTCCGTGGACGGGTCTGAGGTACAAACTCTCCATCAGAGCTTTTGGGTTTTGCATCTAGATTTCAGAAAAAAGATGACAATAACAGTAGTTTTAGCTAATACATATTAACAGTGCCACAGGCTCAGATATTTTAAAGTCACATAAAACATTTAAATTACATATACAGCAAGAGAGCTATTCTATTCAGTCAGCCATCACAGAGCACCTACAAAGGAGGACAATGATGGGCACTGGAGACACAGCTGTAAACACAGCAGACATCTGTCCTGCTCTCGTGCAGCATATATTCAGGGGAAGAAAACCAACAACCAAATAATCAGATAAATAAATGAATAATTTCAAACAGTAAGTGCTATAAAGATTTACTCTGCCTATGATGAATGTGATCATTATGTATACTTAAAATGTACCAATAAACCTAATTATAAAAAAAAAATTCATTCTGTCCATACAGGATGGAGTCACAGTGCAACACGGGTACTCCAAGGGGAGCAACTTCACTAGATGGTACAAGGACTCTTAGTTTCATTTGAGCTGAGTACGGAATGACAAGGAGCTGACCTAGCATTACATTTGGGAGAAGCATTCATTTCCAACTGAGGCAACAATCCATGCAAAACCCTAAAACTTTGTGTATTTGAGGAAATGAGAGACTAAAGTACTATGGGTAAAGTGTACAAAGCCTTAAAAAACATGGTAAAGGGTTTGGAAACTGCTGGGCATAATCTGAACCGTAGGGAGGCTAAGGCAGCAAGATTTCTGTGACTTCAAGTTCAGCCTGATCTACAAAGTCAGTTCAAATACAGTCTGAACTACAAAGCAAAACTTTGTCTTAAAAAAAAAAGAAAAAATAAATAAAACAATTCTCCATTTAAAAAAAGTTTTGAAACTGGGGCCACTGTACTCCCTCTTCCATAGTGACCTGCCCTCACACTGTAGGGGGTGCTGCTTTTCCTACTTTTACTTCACTCACACTTGCTCTGTAGAGCCTGTTTTTTTCCTATCCTTAATAAAACTTTTCTATCATGAAAAAAGAAAAGTTTGGAAACTGGAAAGGGAAGCTCACTGAACAATTTCAACAAGAGAGTAACACAATTCTGTGGTCATCCCAGCACTTGGGAGGCTGAGGCAGGAGGATTGGGTGAGTTTGAGGTCAGCCTGGCTACATAGGTTCAAGACTGGCCTGAACTACATAGTGAGACCCCGTCTCAAAACATACACACAAAAAAAAAAAAACAGAAAAGAAGGGGAAGGGAGAGAGGGTAGGAGAGGGGAAAAGAAAATTCTCAAATGTACCATAGGACAGTAAGAGTGGAAGAAAATTGGGAAATCGGGAGATTAATGTCAATAACAACTAATGCCTACAAATACATTTCAATAAGGAAATGTTTAACAAAACTGTTGGGAAAAATAATCTAAAGCAGTTAAAAGAAATTCTCTTAATCACAAGAATGCAAATTTCATAATGAGAGTACCTGATATCGAAAAGATACTAAGAGTTTTATTTAACATATTCAAATGAATAAACCAAGTGGTGATCCAGATTATAAATGTATACTTGGCACACGACTGTTAAAGTAATAATTATCAAAAAACATATTCACTATATACCCTCAAAAATATAGTAGTTTCAAAACTACCACCCTGGGCACTGGGCTGATATCAAGAAGTTCAATACTTAGTTTATAATTCAAGAGTTAAACTTCACCCTTCATAATGTCAACAATTCACTGTGACTATTCTTTCTCCCAACCCTACCCCTGTGCCGGGCACAGGGCTTCTTCGTTCATGCTAGCTGGGTATGCTACCACCGTGCTTTGCTCTCAGATCTGCCTATATAACCTTAGCCTCAGAAAAATTACTCATCAAAATGTTCCTGAAATACCTACCCCAAACCAAAATTACTTAGTATCTGGAGTACATTTCAGACAACCTATACAGTATCAGTTTATGTATGAATATAGATGATCTAGGGCACCTTTCAAAAAATATAAATAAAAACTACCACGTATGGTGGTGTATGCTTGTAATCCCAGCACTCAGGAGGCTCAGGCAGGAGGATCACTGTGAGTTTCAGGCCAGCTGGGGCTACAACGGGAGTTCAAGGCCAGCCTGATCTGCATAGTGAAACCGGGGCTACAAAGGGAGCCCAAGGCCAGCCTGATCTGCATAGTGAAATCTTGTCTCAAAAAGACAGACAAATAAGTAAATAAACACAGAGGAAAGACATTTGGAAAAAAATATAGTACTACAAATTTCTCATTTCTTAATATGCAGTATTTTTTTGGGGGGGTGGGGGGGTGGTTTCCAGTACCGGGAATCGAACTCACGACCTCATGCTTGCCAGGCAGGCGCTGTGCCGCTGAGCTAAATCCCCATCCCCAGTATGCGGTATTTTCCTTAACTAGTAAAAGAGCAGAAGGAAACTTTTTGTTTGTTTTTTGAGATAGTCTCACTATGGAGTTCAGGTTGTCCTTCAACTGCCTCAATGGCCTTCTGAGTGCTGAGATTACAGGCATGTGCTACCATGCCCGGGCAAAGAGAAACTTTATTTTTGCCCAAAATTTCCAAGATTTAAAATCAGCAGCAAAAGGGCCAGGGATATAGCTCAGCAGCACAGCACCTGCCTGGAAAGCATGAGGTCATGAGTTCGACTCCCAGTATCAAAAAACCAAAAAAAAACTTATGTAAAGTCAGCACCAAAAATAAATAAAACCAGCAGCAATTTGTGAGTCAATGAAACTTCTATTGTTAATAATTTTTTAAATTATCAAAATCATAACTATAATTCTCAGAGATCACATATAAATACAAATAACTACAAAATGGCACTCTTTATACCTTTGATTTGCTTCCGCAGTTTGGTAAGCTCTGTCATCCATTTTAACACCTTTGGGTTGGCTGCAATATCACTGTAGGAGGGCTGCAAAATTATGGAGCAGAATCAACATTTTTGAGGTAAGCAGTGATTATATTGTACCTAGATAGTACTTATGATTCTCAAAGCACAGTTTTCATTCAAGCCTCATTTTAAGTAGGCAAAATATTAAGCAAAAGCTTTCCCAGAGCTCGGTCAGAAAACTAGCAAATCTGAACATGGGTCTTTTGTCTTCTAGTACAGGACTCTCTGCCCTTCACATACTCTAATTATTTAACTGTGTGCTCTTTCTCTCATGCTCTTTCCCTATTCTCCTTGGTACTTGTGATCTCTGGCACAGCAAAGAAACAGCAGTGATAAGATGTCAGTGTAAAGAACTCACTTTAGAGACCTAACAGCTATCTTGTCAGGCTGCAGAGGCAACACTGGCCTAGAAATCAAGAGACTAAGGATCTACTTGATCTAAGATCCACGTGATCACTCCTCCTCTGGGCGTCTCAAATTTGTTAGTCCTCAAGAAAGAGCCGGACTAACGCTCTGTGAAGACACCACCCCCAACCCCTGTTCTAACATTAGACCTAGCTTAATTTGGGCAATGGTACAAATTTACCTTGCTATTCTTTTCCCTTTCAAACTGCTCCTCAAATTGTCTGATTCTTTTCTGAAGTTTCTTGACCAACTGATAAGGTGTTCTGTCTTCTCTTTTTTCATCTTTTGTACTAAAGGATGATCTTCGAATCCTGAATTAAAATAACAGGCCAACAATATGTATTAAATTTTAAAGTATCAATAACATATCTCTCGGCCAGGCGTGGTGGTACACACCTGTAATCTTAGTACTCAGGAGGGTGAGTCAAGAGGATTGTCATGAGTTCAAGGCCAGCCTAAACTACAGCAAAACCCTGCTTCAAGAAAGAAAAAAACGTATCTCTCACTGCCCCGATACACTATCACCAGTTAAGTATAGTACATGAAGTTAAGGCCCTACCACTAAAGTAAAAATTAAAAAAGTATGTTATTACAGACTATAAAATTAACACAAGTAGGACTGGGGATATAGTTCAGTGGCACAGCGCCTGCCCGGCAAGCATGAGGTCGAGTTCAATTCCCAGTACAAAAAAAAAAAAAATTAACACAAGCAGTAATGAAAAGAATTTGGAGTAATTTAAAATTTGTTTGGGCAAAGGCAGAAAAGAAACACACCTAGCATATCAGAGCTCTTTTACATGTTTAAACTGTGCAGAAAAGTCAGAACCAATTTTAAGACCTGGGTACATAACAGGAGTTACCTCTTGATAAGGTCACAAAAATCATATACCTAGCGTAGGAAAGTGCTTTAGATGAGGAATTCAGTGTTTCTGGATCATGTAGGAAACGCTGGCTCTGCCCAAAATCTAAACTGCGATGCGATAACACTGGAGGACAGTCCTCTTCCAGGGGGTGAGGGTTCATTCTTCCAGCTTGTGGAGACAGCTGCGCTTCTCCAGACTCAGAGTCTTCCTGCCAAGACTTAAATGCAGGAAACGGCTCTGTAAGCAAACACACAGAACAGTGCCATGGGTCTCGACCCTACATGGGAAAAGATCACAAAACACAAGCTATATGTTCTTTAAATCCTATCATTATGTAATGTCTCATATATTTGTCACATATCTTTTGAAAGCAAAAAAGATCCTAGGATCTTTACAATCATCGTAATGCTTACTATAATTTAAAAATATCCAAGCTTCTTTTTTAAGCCAGAGTTCTATTTTCATATAAGGAGCTATAATCTCAAATTTCTGAACCCAGTGGCAAAGCAAGAAAAGACACTGTCAAGCTCTTTAAAATTTAATTCTAAAGGTGCCACTTAATCCAATTCTACCTTAATATTCTGAAGATATTATATAGAAAAATATTTCTTTTTTTTTAAATACATGAAAGAGAGACCTCTCCATCTGTGTTAGGGTTTTCTAGAGGAAAACTACTTCTCAAGCAGAGGAAACTGTTTATCTAGAAAAAGTGAACATTCAAGAGTCATTAGTAATTTAACTGTGAAGTCAAATGCTTCCAGGTAAATAAACTGTCCCTCACTATCAAGTGGCTATAGTTAAATGTGGAAGCTCTTGTCCATGCTACACAGAACAAAAACTCTTCTCTAGCTCTCTGACTCCAGAACTCCACCATTCCTAAAGGAGGACCAAGCTCACTGTTAGGACTTGGCCTCTCACATTAAACTGGTGGTTATCTCCAGTTTTGAGGTTTTTATGTATAATATATAGTGTAATAATACAGTAGTATAACGGACACAAACCTTAACAGCACTAGTGTTAAAGCACATTTATTCTCTGGAGTTAACCTGTATGCTTTCAAATGAAACCATGCCACTAATGTACCTGCACAAGTAGGATTTGATTACATATAGAACATATACTGGTCATACACACAATCTACAAATATACTCCAAATATGAGATTAAGTATAACTGGAGTACAAGGAAGGAGGGGAAAAAACCAAGGAAGGAAACCAAAAAAAAAAAACCCATCTACTCATTAGCTTTATTTATAACTAAATTTTAAAACTTTGATGCTATTATTATTAACAATAGCAAAAATGAACAGATGGCTTGACAGTGTCAAAATCCCAAAAGTGATGCTTTCTTTTTCACATAGTAGTGAAGATGCTGCTTTAGTAATTTAACTCTATGCATTAGCATTTTAAAGCATTACCTCTTCCCAGGGTGGTAAGGACAAAATTTAAATTTGTTTCTGAAGCCAGGTTAATCTGTTAACTAAAAATTAGGTACAAAGCGTGCAACCCCACAGTAAACCCAGCAGTAAAGTGATTTCAAAGCAACCCTTGTACCTGCGTCCCAGCAAATAAATAACCAATAATGAACATTTAGATAAACCTCCTAAGAAAAGAAGGAAATGACAAAAGCTCTTTTTTCTGGGTATCATTTTCAACCCAAAAGTTTTCCTACAATTCAGGGACAGCAGGAGAAGGGCTAATAAACACAGTGAACCGTAAGAAGTAAGAAAACTAAACCACGGTGAACCATACTTACCCTCCCCATCTCTCTGCAGATGCATTGTTTGGAAATCAATGAGGGGGAAAGTGATAGGGCATGACGCTAATAAAATGGAAAAAAATGGCAAAAAATACTAAAGTGAACACACAGCACAGTCAGAACAAACCATACACATAACACAAAGCCAAATATACCAAAAACATTTCCCTAAGACCAGTTAGGCATTCTGCTCTAAAACTTTATTTAAGGAAATTAAACCGAACTTTAACACAAAGATACATTTCCATTTCAGCAAGCAAGGCAAAAAAAAAAAGTAATGCTGTTTTATTAAAACTCAAATGTAAGACTAGAGAAATGGAAATTCTTAACCATATTCTACTTGAAGCTTTTCGATATAATTGATTTGACAGAAAAAAAAAAAAAAAACAAACAACTCTCCCTTGGTTCATACTCTGAAAAGATACTACTATATTTCATTCCCTAGTTTACAGGAGAGAATCTGAAGGAAAGATGATTTCTACCTCCACTACCAAGACATTTTGAAGAGCAGCTACAAATGTTCACTGGGGTAGTCACGTGCTGCTGCTTGCTAACTGTGCTCTGCTGACCACCCTCTGAAGAAAGTAAAAAACAACATATACCAGGCAACGGTGAGGTGCTCCTAGGTTCAGTCATTCCTATTAAGAGGAGTCACATCAAACAAAATATGTTTCTCAGCCTGATGTGGTGGCACACACTTGTAATCCCAGCACACTGGGAGGCCGAGGCAGGAGGACTCAGCCTGGAGAGCTTAACAACTGAATGAGACTGTCTCAAAGTAAAAAAATTTTAAAAGGGCTGGAGATGTAACTCAGTGTGAAGGTCCTGAGTTCAATCCCTAGTTCCACCAAAATATTTAGTATATGTGCTGCCGAAGTGAGCACTCCACCAAAATATTTAAATAATAAAATAAATCTCTGATTCCAAAATATCCAAAGTCTAAAGTAATTTGTTTTCTTTTTGTCTTTTTTTATTGTCTTTTTGAGACAGGGTCTCGCTATGCAGTTCAGGCTGGCCTTGAGTTCACTTTGTAGCCCAGGCTGGTCTCGAACTCACAACAATCCTCCTGCCTCAGCCTTCCGAGTACTGGGATTACAGGTGTGTGCCACCACACCCAGCTCACTAATTTGTTTTCCTGAGAGACTTTTTAAATTTTAGAATATCCTAACACTTAATTGTGGAAAATTAACATTCATATTGATGACAAAGTTGGAGGGGACAATATGGTCTACTGACAGCTATTGTCCTACACACATATGGTCCATACTGGAAAAGTCACTTAGCTACCTACTACTGTTGCCTTTCTGAAGGTCGCTGAGTCCTAGCCCTGCCCTGGAAAAGCCAGCAGGAGGACTTGTTATGAGTACTGAGTCAGGTGGGTAATAGGGCAGCTCAAGCCTTGAAACAAAGTTAGGGATCAGTAGTCTACAGGTAACTACCTCCTTTCTCTACAACAAGGTAGAGGGGTTACAGTCCAGGAAAAAAAAAAGCCCAGTGCTTGCTTTGGGGGAGCCTCCAGAAAGCTAAAGCTAGACAGACACTGCCCAATCCCCTCAGACAATGGAAAACAACTGCTCTGCTATCCTTAAAATGTATCAAACCCGCACGCCAAAGATCATAAATTACTATTTATCTGCATATTCTAAGAGAAAAAGAGCAAAAGTGCTTTATCAGTGTAACAACTTCATCTTCCAGATGCCTCTCCTACCAGGCTTCCAAGAGATGTTCTATTAACCACTGTTCCTTTTCAATGACTACACTGAAAAGGTCATTTGGATCTCACTGTCACCAGTATGTTCACAGATCCTCTAGGCCCAAGGAGCTTTTTCATAAATTCCAGAAGTCTTGAATAATCCAGATCAAAGCAAATAAAAGGTAACGTCCCAGCTGGGCATGGTGGCACACATCTTAATACCACCTACTTGGGAGGCTGAGTCAGGAGGATTGCAAGTCTGAGGCCAAACTGAGGAACTTAGTGAGAAAAGGGAAAAGAAAGGAAAGGGCAAGAGGAGAGAGAACAAGAGAGAGCAAAAGACAAGAAAAGATGGAAAGAAAAAGGGAGGGGAGTAGCGGAGAAATGGAAGAGGAAGAAGAAAGGAAAAAGAAGGGAAGGGGAAGGGAAAGGGAAGAGGAATGAAAGGGAAGAAAAAGACAACCACCTAACACAGTCTGAGTTAACATAACGTGCCACAGACATGCCCACACCTAGACCCAAGGAAGGTGGGAGGAAGGCAGCAATAAAGACGGGTACAAACAGGACTTGGTGTTTTTTTAAATGCCTGGACCGTAACACATCCATGTTCATATGTTCTCGCTCTTGGACCAGCCTTATGAAGGAAGTCTATTACATCAGCACTGCAATTCTTGCTAATGCCATAACCCAGGGATCTACATCCAAGTGAACAGAAGGTTTAAGATTCCTAAGTTGTCTCATTTTTTATTTAGAGAAAGGTGTGTGATCCAGAAATTCTTGGCTCCAAATTTGCTCATTTACCTTCTCCTCCGCCATTTTACTGCAAACTTTACAAAAAGACAGCAAATTTTAAAGAATTTTACAGTGAGCACCCAAATTACTAATCACCTGAATTCTACAAGTAACATTTTATTAACACTGCTTTATAACATCTACCTCATTAACCACCTTTTCTTTTCCCTGATTTCAAAGTGAACTGCAGATGTATTATTTCCTCATAAACACTTCAGTACCCAGGTCATTCATCTGTTTGGCTTTTCAGATTCTCTTAACGTAAGAAGAAAACTTTATGTACAATGAAATGCAAAGATCTTAAGTGTACATTTGCTAAGTTCTGAGAAATGCAAATACCCATGTTGTTTGCTTGTTAAATTTAAAACTTCTTTCTTTTGTAAAAATTGTTAGGGTCAGTCCATCATACTTTTGCCTAATCCAGAGACAGAGATATGATACAGCATCTGTTTATAGGTGCCCTGGAGGATTACTTTTCAAAAAGAGTTTTCCTGATAGATATAAATAAAGGTACCTAACTACTACAGGCCACCTGTTTAAACCAGTTATGACCCTAAGCCCTAGCACACCGGATTTGCAAAGACTGGGAGATAGCACCTGGCTTAACCATTAACAAAAGCCTATCCAAAGTATTTAATTAATTCTAACATCTGTTTTCAAAGCTAATGGACCAGACGGGCAAGTTCTAGTTCATATGAGATAGCTGCCCCATAATACTGTTAGTGTACCTGGGTAAAAACACTCACTCACTCACTCATATGAAAGGAAGAACAGAAGATTAAGACAAATATGGTTGTCCAGAAAAGGACAGAAGTTTCTAACTTCTTTGGGTAATTTCAGCTACAAATAACAGTATCGGGAAAATGATGTGTGTGGTAAAATTACCTTCCCATTTATCACCATCAGAAGCACTCTTCAGATCTAAATGTGGAATTTGGACACATGCTGCTTCCCCTTGAACACCAACACTTTGACCTCCTGGCACTTCTGATTCAGTGTTGGCATTCAAGTCACATATCTTGCTACTAGATTCCTGTATTTTAAAATAAAAAAAATATTTCACAATTATGAAGCTCTTTAGACCCAGCTTAAAGCCAATTTGCACTTATCATTGTTGGGGGTGGTGGTGGCACTGGAGACTGAACCCAGGGCCTTGGACATAGGAGGCAAGCATACTACCCTGAACTGCATCCCCAGCCTTTCCCTCTTAGTATGTCTGCAGTACCTAATGAACACATGCATGTGGCTGGTTGGTACATGTACATGACACACCTTAATTCTTTTTATGTTCCCTTCCCCATCACTTGGTTTCTTCCCCACTGCCTGCCATCTCTTAATCCCCTTCCCATTTGCAAAGGATTTGTCTCCCACGGGGGAGATAGCCCAGTGGCATAGCACTTGCCTGGCAAGTGCAAGGGCCTGAGTTCAATTCCCAGCACCAAAAAAAAAAAAAAAAAAAAAGGAAAAAAGATTTGTCTCCCTGTTTCCTATTATCTATTTTTATTTTGCTCTTTATCTGTACTTTGGGTTTCTCATGTAAGAGAAACCATATGATATTTAAGCCTGTGTGTCTGATTTAGTCCACCTAACATTATGGTCCCAAGGTGCATCCATTTCCTACAAATGACTCAAGTTTCTTCTTCATGGCACACTGGAACGCCACTGTGTATCTAGACTACATTTTCTTTGTCCTTCATCTGTCGATTATGAGTTGTGCTGCTATGAACACAGGTGTGCATGGGTCACTGTAACATGACGTCTTTAACTTTTGGAAAGATACCTACAAGGAAAATAGCTGGGTCAAATGGGTTTTCTAGTTTTAGTTTCTTGAGTAATCTCCATACTGATTTCCAAAGTAGTTTGCTCGTTTATATTCCTACCAACAAAGTAGAAGGGTTCCTTTTTCCCACAGCCTCGCCAACATCTGTCATTGTTTGATTTCTTGGTGACTGCCATTCCTTCTGGAGTAAGATGAAATTTCAAAGTTGTTTCAATATGCATTTCTCTGATGGCCAGAGATGCTGAACATTTTCTCACGTATATATTATATTGGCCATTTGTACTATTTCTGAGAAATGTCTGTTCATTTCAGTTGCCCATTTTTTGGACTGGGTCTCTTATGGGGGGGGTTCTAATTTTTTTTTTTAGTTCTTTATTTATTCTAGATATCAATCCTCCATCTGAGGTGTAGCTGGCAAATTTTTTACCATTCTGTAGGTTGTCTCTTTATTCTGTTGGCTGTTTCCTTTGCCTAGCTATTTTTAATTGTTTTATTTTAAGTTAGAGTCATGCGAAATTGCCCAGGTTGGTCTGAAACTTGCAATAATTTTCCCTCAGTCTCCCAAGTAACTGGAGCTACAGACACGCACCATCACACCTGGCCCTGGTGTAAACTTTATTAGTTTAGTATGTCTATATAGCCCATTATCTCACTCTTACCATCCAAACTATTTTCAAATATAAACCTGCAGGTTTCTTGTTTTGTTTTATTTTTGTTTTCTGGAGACTAGGTCTCACTATGCAGTCCAGGCTGGGCTCGAACTTGCAGCAATCCTCCTGCCTCAGCCTCCTGAGTGCTGGAATCACAGGTATATGCCACCACACCCAGCTAAACCTGCAGTTTTATAATATGTCTCACTGGGAGACAAAGTTGAATCTCAAATTCATGAAACTACTCTCATAATCAAGAATCCTATCACCAAAAGTAAAAATTAAGCTGCTTAACAATAAAACATTTGATTATTTCTATTTATACTTATAGCTCCTTTAAACATATCCAATTCAAGAGTTAAAGGCCAGATGTAATACTGATATATAAACATAGGCAATTTTTTAAAGAACTATAAAATGAAAATACTTACCAGAACCAAGTGTGACAATTTATCACTGTCAAATACCAAACAGCCTTTCCTAAAAATACAAGTACATTTATTAGTATGCTGAGAATAAAAACACTACAATTATTACACATTTCTTTCTTAGATCCTCTTTTCCCCAGCAGAGGCAGCATTTAAAATGTACAAGGAGAAAACAACTGGGCTTATGCCCATTCTTTGGAGCCCTATATCTGAAAATCACAATACTGAAAAGATCCACAGAATCACTTCAGAGTTAGAAAAAGTAAGTAATGTTCCCCACCCCCAATACAAAGCACCGCCAAAATAAACTTCTATAAAAAGAAAATTAAAATCTACAATAACCAAAAAATATGAATGTTTAATAGAAAAGATTCTGTAAAATAAATGTTTATTTTTAACCAAATCACTATTTCTCCCAGAGACTTTAAAGATATTTTAGGAAGTATGACTGTATCTTTTATTTTAAATCTGTTTTATCACAAGGTATACTGTAACCAAAGAAGGTTACTTCTAAAATTCTATTTTTTCAAAATTTAACAGTAACACTTAAGCACTAAGAAACTGAAAAACGTACACTGTAGACATAATCCTTGGACACCATATGCAAAAAGGTTTAGGGCTGTATATGTGCCTAAGAAATCTTAAAGGTGTTACTAAACTTAAAAAAAGTAACATTAAAAAAGGTATTCCCCCAGAAAAGCAAACCCCTGTTAGGGACAAGTGTTACTGTAAACTGCCATAAATGATCTCTACATATATGGCCAGGCAACAAAGTATCAGCTATTACATAGTAGGTTATAAATACACCTATGTGGGAAGGTTCTATTTCTCAAAGAAACTTGTGGCAATTTACAATAAACCCAAGTACCTCTTCTAACTGGCCACAGTAAGAGAGCAAAACAGGAGAGGGCTTGATCTACAGATGGTGAGTCATCTCACGTACATAATCAGTGTGTGCCTGCTGAGCAGTTTCCTGACAAACTTGAGGCCTTTGCTTGAGGTGGGAATAAGAGATGCCACCTATTAGACTAGAAAACCTAGTCACCTAAATTTGAGAAACTTCAGTCTTAAACATGCAAAATGCAATCCTCTAACCAAGGTACTTTTTGGATCTAAAAATAAGTTTGCTAACCTATACACAAGTTGAAGAGGAAAGAGCTTTTTCCAAAAAGATTGAGTCCTCACTAAGTGGATCCTTATTGCTCTATCAAATCCAGATGTCATCATTCTGGGGATGCCTGTTACTGCTGTTTATCTTACATCTTCAGCCCATAGCTCCAAAACTCCCTGGGCTGGAAGAGGATCATTTCTGCCTCCTGAAAGGAAGCACAAGGATCTGCTGTAAGCAGGAAATCTGTGGACCTTCCGAGTATGGGACACTCCAGAGACATGGCTCCAAAGAATTTACTTACCCTCAGACAACAGTTTCCTACTCATCAGTAACAGACAATGGCATTAACAGAGTTTAACCTAGTCAGCAGATTATCAGCGAAGTAGTAATTTCCCACCTCTCAATATTTACACCTGTTTAAAATTAGTCATGTATTTTCCGAATATCAATTCATCTTTCCTAAGAAAGTTTTAATACACTTTTTTTTGGAGACCGGATCTCGCTATATAGTACAGGCTGGCCTTGAACTTGCAGCAATCCTTCTGCCTCAGCCTCCCAAGTGCTAGGATTACAGGCATGCACTATCACACCAGCTCTAACTTGCACTCTTCCTGCTTCGGCCTCCCTGAGCCCTGGGATTATAGTCATAGACACCATTTCTGGCTTGTACCCTTTGCTTAGTTAGCTATAGCTCTAATACTTCACTGATAGGGATGCACAGAATATCAATAAATTCCAATTTGTTCTATAAATCAACTAAAATGTTTTAGGTGTCTCCAGGAAGGTTACGTTCCTCCCTCTGAATGTTTTCCAAATTATAACTGATGTCTGTTTGAAGCTGTGAAAGTATTTGTGGACTCAATAAATTTTATGCCTTTCATTAAAGTAAAAAGTGTGGAAATTTTTTTAGATCACCTCAACTGTATGTTATAATGAATAGATTCATCTAAGAATTTCACCCCCAAATCTGTGAAAAGCTCCAATTCTCAAAGTGATCTGTCAGCAACAAGAGCAATGCTTACCTCTCAAGACAGCCATCTTCGCCATCCTCGGGGTCGCTACACGGCTCTAGCAGAATACCTGCAGACTGGCAAAGAGAACACCACTGCTGTGTTAACAGAGCTCCCAACACTCACACAAAAGCAAAGTTCCCAATCTAAACTGAGGCAGGAGACTACAGGTTGGCTGAACACAAGTCTCTCATTTGTAACAGTCTGTAGGAGTTGGCATCTCTTTTTGCAGAGAGCAACTTCTCTTCCTTCAAAATGTGAATCACTAAGTCTTGCAGGGACCCTGTATTTTTTCTACCCTATGAGCCGGCAGGCCCTGCCATTATCATCTTTCCTTCTCAGAATTCTCGCCTTCAAAAATGACGGACTTCTGAGCCCACGTACACACTACAGCTTGCTGTGTTTCTCCTCAGCCCAAGACAAGTAGTACGCTGGTGACTTCCTAGCAGGAAAGAAGAGTTTGGGAAGACCTCACCAGACTTCTTTCTAATGCACACTGCTTCCACACAGGATCCCTGTGACCCACAAGTGACAGCTATCTCCTTCCTCTTGGGTGTCTGCTGGTTTCCCAAATATTTCTGAACTCCACTTTGGAAAAGAGGTAACTACATTCCAGGAGTTTCTCAGTGCTTGCAATACACGAATAATTCTAACTTTCAGAAAGCACTACCAATGAAGATGCCCTGGGGTGGACACATTTTATAGAAAATTTAATGATAAACCCAGGTATTTTTGAATAGTATCTTTTTTTGGAGACAGGGTCTCACTATGTAGTCCAGGCTGGCCCTGAACTTGCTTATGTTGCTTAGGCTGGCCTCAAACTCAGCAATCCTTTTGCCTTGGCCTCCCGAGTGCTGGGATCATAGGTGTGTGCCACCTTGCCCTGCCAGAAGTATTTTTAAAAAGAAAGTAAGTTTATACTCTCAAATGGGGCCCATTCCTATAATTCCAGATACTCAGGAGAGTGGCAGAAAGATCACAAATTCAAGCTCACCCTGGGCAACTCAACACGACCTTTCTCAAAAAATAAAAAAGGGCTGCGATGTAACTCAGTAGTAGAGCTCCATTTAAAGAAAGGGAAGGGGAGAGAAAGGCAGGGAGGGGAAGGGATGGAAGGATATCGAAAAAAAAATAAAGAGGAAAGAAAAAAATTACAAAGTGAATACTACCAAAAATGAACTTAAGAAAGTCAAAAGATAACTAACCAAAAACAAACAAAAACACACAACAAACTGAAAACAAGTATTGGTGGTGATAACTGTAAAGGTGCATTTTCCTTGGTGGCGCACCTGTAATCCCAGTACTCAGGAGGCTGAGGCAGGAGGACTGTTGAGAGTTTGAGGCCAGCCTGGGCTACAAAGTGAGTTCAAGACCAGCCTGAACTGTACAGCGAGACCCTGTCTCAAAAAACACACACAAAAAGTGCATTTTCTTAATAAATCAAAAAGGAAAAATTCCAACCATCAAACAGAAAAAGGTACAAAGCTTATGGGCAGTTAAAAATAGAAAAGATCTGAGCAACTGATTTGAAGGCAACAATATGCAATGGATTAATATCTTCTTCCTTTTATTTTTAAAATAAAAAAAGAATAATATATTCTCAATTGAAAAAAAATGCAACGGAACAACCACTGGTGAACTCCTACCACCTTGTCTAGTGAAACTCTGTGTTATCTCTAATGTTTTATCTAATAATCATTTTTTACTGTCTTTAATGGTTTGAACAATCTTCCATTCTTGTATCTGATAACCTGAGCAATGAAGCTGAAGATAACAATATGTAATGTGACAACCACTGTTAATTCCTATCATTTTGTTGAAACCCTATATCACTTTTAATGTTCTTGCTTTGTTTTGTTTATGTTTGTGATGTTGGTATGCTGCTACTGTTCTTTTTTTTTTTTTACTACTCTCTTTAAAATAAAACAAAAAAAAAAATAGGAAAGACAGTATTTTTATAAAAATGTCAATGGAAAAGAAAACCACAATTTACAAGTTTCACTTACCAGATGTAATAAACAAATTGACTACTGGTGACGGGATAGTGAAATAGGTACACTGAGACACTGGTAGTGATAGTATAAATTTGGTTCAATGGAGGGCAATGTGGCAATACAAACCAAATTACAAATGTATACACTTTAGGACTCAAAAATTCTACTTATATAGATTTACAGGACAAGGTTAATAGGTCAGAACACTGGAAGGATGTGTGTACCATACAACACACCTCAGTGAGCAACGGTTCGTGCTGAACAGTGTTGTGTTTTTTGTGATACTTAGGGTTGATCCCAGGGTATTATGCACGCTAGGGAAGTACTGTGCTCTAGCACCCAGCTATACCCGCAACCCTTCTTATTTTTTGAGACAGGGCCTTGTTCAATTGCCCAGGCTGGGCCTCAAACTTTGGATCCCCCTCAGCCATCTGAGTAGACAGGGTTCCAGGCACTCACCATCACATCCAGTATAGAACAGAAGTTTTTCAAACAGTTTTGTAATACACTGTCCTAGGGGAGAGGAGCTAATGTTGACAGGAATGGGAAGGAAGGGGGCTTTTCTGAGCATGTACATCTTTTAAAAACTTTTTACATTTTATATTAGCAGAATCTATAATATCTTTTCAGAAATAATATCAATGACCCACAATTAAAGCTTTTTAAAAAGACTTGGTGCTGGGGATTGAACCCAGGGCCTTGCATACACTAACCACAACACACCACTGAGCCACACACCAGCCTCATCAAGCGTTCAATCACTGGAGCTCCGAGATCAGTTTCATACTGGATAGGCAAAAGCCACTGCAAAACCGGTCCAAGTAACAATCCAGTATTCTATAGTACGACACTGATTAGCTTTGATCAAAATGTTAAAAAACACCAGGCATAATAGTGCACGCTTGTAATTCCAGCACTTGCGAGGCTGAGGCAAGAAGATTGCCATGCATTCAAGGTCAGCCTGGGCTACAAAGTGAGCTCAAGACCAGCCTGAACCCCAGAACTCCAGAACTCCAGAACTCCATAGCGAAACCCAGTCTCAAAAAAAAAAAAGGTTAAAAAAAAAAACAACAACCTGGTTTCCTTATGTTACAAGTAAATTGCAGAGACACAATCTGTAAAGTACATTTTATATTTAAAACCTTGACTTCTATAATATTCTAGCCCAGGACTGGCAAACTACAGCCCACTACCAGTTTTTGTACGGGTAGTAGGGTAAGAATGGTTTTTACATTTTTAATACACTCACAATGAGGCCATGATTTGTATGTCTTACTGCCAGGTGGCTTGAACCACCAGGGGTACACACATGACTGTCCCATGCATGACTGTCCCACTTCTACCACAAGCCATCCAGGGGATAGTCACACACATACCACCAGTGGTTTAAGACAGCAGGAGCATGCTGAATGGTTAGAGGTGGAGGGAATCAAAACAGTAATATACATATATATATATAGATTGATTGATTGATTGTCTTTCTGAGACAGGATCTCGTTATGCAATTCAGGCGGGCCTTGAGCTCACTTTGTAGCCCAGGCTGGTCTCTTAAACTCGCAACAATCCTCCTACCTCAGCTTCCCGAATGCTGGGATTACAGGCATGCGCCACCACACCCAGCCAAAAGAATAATTTATGACATGTAAAAAAGACAGCTAATTCAAATTTCAGGGCCCATAAAGTTCTGCTGGATCACAGCCATGCTCATTCGTTCTCTGGCTGCTTTCGTGCTACAATAGTCAAATCGTTGTGACAGAGACCGTATGCCTGCAAAACCTGAAATGTTTAGTAGCTCGCCCTTTATAAGAAGTCTGCAGGTACTACCTCTCTACCTAGTCTTATTCTTTGCTGGATTCCAGTTACCTACTATCAAACCACTTGAATCAGGCCATGAGACCATACACGTGAAACTCATCCATCCAGTCCAACTGGAATATATCCCCTCTTCTGGCAACTTCACCTTGTTGCCACACTGAAGGACTCATTCCACATTTTCAACCCACTTAGCATGAACTCTGCACCCTGGCCAGCTATTTCAAACTATTCTATGAGTGCCCTTAGCAGCGTGATTCAGTTTTTGATCAGCCTTCCGTCTTCTAGCAAAAAAATACTGTAAGAAGAAAATGTCAGTTATGATGTACCTTGCTAGTTGGTTCACTGCAAACTCATACCACCAAACTTCAGCCGCACCTCCGCTACTGCTTGAGTGCCTGCTGATGTCTACACGCTCTATCTGACTTCTTTTCATGGAGGCTCCTATAAGATTTTCCCTGTTTCTTCTAACTCCAAACCACAGAGTCTCAGGACTATTCCTGCCTCCTCACCTTCTGCAAATGAAGCATTTCACTTTACAATGTTTAGGCCATCTGAAATAAGATCACCAAACTATATTAAAAAATATTTCCTATCTCCCCTTCAACTGAGGATATATCCTGAACGCCAAATGGAGAAACTATCAAAACGCAGCGGCAGTAACTACATAAAGGAGCCAAAAGAACTACAGAAAAATAACTGAACAGGTAAAAACCTAATCTGCACAAGTCTGACGGAAGTAAGCAAGAGGAGCCTAATCTTTGTGGAACATTTTCTAGTCAGTAAAATAATCTAATAGCTAGGCGTAGCACATGGCTGTAATGCTGGCTACTTGAAAAGTTGAAGCAGTAGGAAAACAAGTTCAGTGTCAGCCTGGGCATGACTGTCAAACTGTGACACATTAGCGTGATTGGACTAAGAATGCCTAGCAGATCAGGGCACATTTCTGGGTGTGTCTGTGGGGGACATGTACGCACGACCTGGGGTAATTCCTATGATCTCTGGCACTGTTCCCCTGCTCTGCTTCCTGGCTGCCAAACTGAAGTATCTTCTCTCCACCACACCCTTCTGCCATGATGTTTCTGCCTTGGAGCTGGCAGGCTGTAAACTGAATCCTCTCAAGCTGGTGATTCAAGTTAAGCCTCTCCTCCTGTAAGTGCGGGTGTGGGCATTGTGTCCCACTGACGACAACTAACTAGTACACTTGGTAAATCAGCAAGACCCTGCCTCAAAAAGAAAAGTGCAAAAACAAGTGTGTGTGGTGGTAGGGGAGTAGAAACAGTTCAGCGGCAGAACACTTGCCTTACAAGCATCAAGCCCTGGATTTAATCCCTAGCCTACGCTTTGAAATTAAATACATCTTAGGAAGATGCTGCTTTTGTACTTTTAATTGCAATTATTTTAAAAACAGTGTTACCACTAACAAATGTGACAATGGTAATAACTTAGTTACAATGTTCACAGGTTTCCTCTCATTATAAAAAGATCCCAATTGCAGGGTGTAGAACATGCCATCCCAAAACACGCCTCTTTAGCATCAGGATTGTTTTGAGCTGATTATTTTGGGAAAGAGAAAACACAAGAGAAAACAGATAAATTTTTAAGACAAACTTTCATCTGTACCAGAAATCTCCACTTGCAAATTATCTCCTCTGCACCAGAAAGGGAAAACCTATTAAAGCACTTAGAAACTTATCAAGCTACCTAAAAAATTTTTACTTTCTGTCTAGGTTGCTGTTCCTAGTCATCTTGCTATGACTGGGTCTCCTCCACACTTCTGTTTCCGAGGATACTGTTATTTAAGTTAGCCCTCTGAGATTTAATATTTCCCTTGTTTCCTATGTATACATGAGATGTACATGCTGTTTGTTTTCCTGTTAATCTGTTTTTTGTTACAGGATCTACCCCAAGAAAATACTACAAAGGGAAGAAAGAAAATTATGTTCTTGTCTATATTACGTTCTTTGGAAAAACTCAGAAAGAAGAGCTTTGAGCAATAGCAAAATTCAGTCATAATATCACCAAATATCAGGTGGTATTAGTATAGTTTATTTCTTTACAAGAAGTACTTTAAAATAAGATGTTTTACGCCTACTTCTTTACCGGATGCTGGTTCTTACACTAGTGAGAGAATGTATATTCTTGTGGGTTTTTTTGTTTTGTTTTGTTTTGGTCTTTTTAAGACAGGGTCTTACTGTGCAGTTCAGGCTGGCCTTGAGCTCACTTTATAGCCCAGGGTGCTCTCGAACTTGCAACAATCCTCCTGCCTCAGCCTCCTGAGTGCTGGGATTACAGGGGTGAGCCACCACACCCGGCCTTTCTTGTGGGTTTATAATTGAGACCTAAGTCAGCAAAGACACTGAGTTATTGAGCCAGGCATGGCAGCGTAGGCCTGCAATCCTAGCACTTAGGAGGCTGAAGCAGGTAGATCGCTTTAAGTTCTGGGCCAGCTGTGGCTACATAGTGAGTTCAAGGCCAGCTTGCGCTACACAGTGAGACTGTTTCAAAAAACAAACCCAAAAAAGATAACAAGTTACAACTTCAAAGGAGCACATGATAGTCAGAGCTGTGCATTTAGTATACCTAATAGATTTTTTTCTATTTCTTACCTGATTATTTTCTTCATCCTCAAATACAAAATCTTGCTGTATGACTTCATTGTCTAAATTAGTGCCAGCCACAGGTTCTGAACACTCCTTGTTGCTACTACTGGCATTAATGATACCATCAGCAATATCAACCCTAGAATAAAGATTTTAAAAATCAGACCAGTCCTAATGATGAATATAAAATGCCTTTAAAATAAGTATCAATAATGATCTGAAAATTTACTTGTTAAATAAAATATGTCCTTTTCATGGAAATGCACACATTTTTTGTCGTGCTAAATTATATTATTAAATCTGTTATATTTATTATTGTCTTGCCCTGGGATGTTAAAGACCTTGAGAAAATATTCATAGGCAAATGGTTTCAAAAAAATACATGTACAGGCACAAATTCTCTATGATGAATGTTATCATTATATATGCATCAAAAATGTAGCAATAAATTTTTTTAAAAACTATACACACAAAAATATATGTGTCAAAACAATTTCCCTTACAAATGCACACTCCACATGATAATGACCCATTTGTCTTGGTTAAATACAAGTTCAATACTAGACACTATAGTGTTTAAAACTCTACCAAGTATAACAAGAATAGTTCCCTACTGCAGATCTTCCATCAAAAAGTTTAGAATATGCAAAATAGCATAGTTTTTGTTTACAAAGAAAATACTACTACTGCTGATGATGGAATATCAGTCACTTCCCCAGTGGTAAAAATAAAAGTACTGTCTGAGAAATGGGCAAAAGTTTTCAGGACTCTAAGATGAGCTGGACAAACTCTAAGGAATTTGTTTATATTGCAACTTTTGAAAGAATTCCAAACTTTTGTTTTTGTTTTTTTGAAACAGGGTCTCACTAGGTATTGCACACTGGTCTTGAACTAACTATGTAGCCCAGACTGGCCTTGAACTCACGGTGATCCTCCTGCATCACTCAGCTCCTGTGTGCTGGGGTTACAGGTGTGCGCCACGAAGCGTGGCTTCCTTTTTGTTTGAGACAGGATCACGCTATGTAGTTCAGGCTATCCAGAACTCACTATGTAGACAAGGTTGGCCTTGAACTCACAGCAATCCTCCTGCCTCAGCCACGACAGTGCTAAGATTACAGGTGTACGCCACCACACGCTTATTTCCAACTTTTAAATGCCACTATTCCAACTTTTAAATGCCTTCCTATTCAGCCCAAATACTACCTACTGCATAAATTTTAATCATGCTTTCAAAACACAAAAATCAGGGCCATCATCACATAGAGCTGCAGTGGCTGGTAGTGCCATCCTGCAGTTACGCATCAAGGTATTCCTAAAATAAACATTTTAGTCATTGGTACGCATATCCATTCATATTTTTCACTTTGTATTTCACAGCTATGTCCAGTTAGCCCTTTTAAAGTCTTCTTTTAAAAATGTCTCTCTAGTGAGGAGGCATGGTGGCACACACCTGTAATCCCAGTGCATAGGAGGCAGGAGGATCATCTCAAATTCTAGGCAAGCCTGGGCTACAAAATGAGTTCAAGACCAGTCTGAACCACACAGAAAGACCCTGTCCCCCTAAAAATTCACTCCATCCAACCTTTTTTTTTTTTCAACTTTCCTAGGAATCCTCCAAACAAGTTCACTTTTCACATGTCTCCAAAATACAAACTGACACATGGAAAATACGAAGTAAGTTCCTTGTAGCTTCTAAAGGAAGGACACACATATCCTAAAGTGAAGGGCAGAGGTAATAGGAAGAGGCAAGGCTTTCCTCCATCAAAAGGTACCAGGTCACATGAAGAGTAGAGTAATATCATAGAGATATCTTTTAACTCATCCAAATTCAACTACTAACAGCTAATCTAACAAATGCACACGTAGAAGATGTGCATGGTGACATATGCCTAGAATTCTAGCACTCTGGCAGGTTGAGAGGCATGAGGATCACAAGTTGCAGCTCAAGTCTGGGCACTTTAGTAACTTAGTGAGACTGTCACAAAAAGGGGAGGGGGTAGTGGTTTGGGGACATAGCTCAGTGCAAAAGCCTAGGTTTCATTTCGTTTCATTTCTCTTTTTCCAGTACTGGGACTTGAACCTAGAGCCTCGTGCTTGCCAGGCAAGCACTGTGCCACTGAGCTACATCCCTGGCCCAAAAATCTAGGTTTCAATCCCCAGTACTGCCAGAAACAGTGTACAGAGGAGAGGTTTGAAGTAGAATAGCTTTTTTTTTGTCTTTTTGAGACAGGGTCTCACTATGCAGTTCAGGCTGGCCTTGAGCTCACTTTGTAGCCCAGGCTGGTCTTGAACTTGCAAGGATCCTCCTGCATCAGCCTCCCAAGTGCTGGGATTACAGGCGTGCACCACCACGCCTGGCTAAGATAAAATTTAAACAGCAAAGGATGATTCTGTCTACCATTTCACTCTACCACAAGCACCAGTCAGGTCAATCTGCTGTTCCTGTGCCTGCCGAGATCACTGCATGCCTCAGTGTGACCACCTCTTGCACAGAGTATGACTTACTTTTCAAACAACACAGCCCTTTAAAGGTAAGGTTATCATTTCATCCAGTATTCAGGGAGGAAAACATGGCTGTGTTGGACTTAATACAAATACTTTATGGATGAGTCACAAGACTTTCACTGTTAACTTAGTGGGTACAATTTATATACAAGTACATACAGATGTGCCACTTTTACACTGACTTTCACAAATCCCCAAGCAGGATGAGACTACTATTCAAGAAAAAGAATTGTTTTTTTAGACAATAAACAACTGTATAACTCAATAAAAATTACAAAATATTTCTTACTGATTATTAGGTCTTTCTTCATCACAATTAATACTTCCTGCTTCATTATTACACACCACGTTTTGCTGCTGTACATTCTTAAGATCATGATCTATGCTGCTCTGCAGATCGAAAAGGTGCTGTTCCACAGCCACTCTAATAGTTCTTTCTAAAACACTACAAAACACAACACATTTTTAAGAGCAGTCACCCTACTGGGTATTTGGCCACATAAACTAAAATGTTAAAACCTAAGACACGGGGAAGGAGATGAGCAAAATATATTACACGCATTAATCCCCTCAAACAACATGAAACCAGAGGGGAGCGCAAGGGGTGATGGGAGGTGATCAAAGGGTGTTATTGCATGCACAAATCTGCCAAAATGAAACCCAGTAAACCTAATAACCAACAAAAAAGTGAAAAGGACTTTATGACAAGTCAAGGGAAGCATAAAATAAAACAGATGATGCTGGCTTACATATTCAAGCAAAGTTTGCCTAAATAGATGATCCTATACAAATCAACCATAATGTCACTATTATTACTTGAATGAGAAGAATCAATTGTCTGATAATTCATTCCTTACAACACAGAAGCCAATTGAAAAGCTGGGTTTTTTAAAGCTAAGTTTATATGGCAAAATAATTTACTAAGACTCAGCTAAATAAAAGAAACTATAAGAGCATTACCCATATATTTTACATGAACTTTACTTTTAAAAGTAAATTTAGCCAGGCGTGGTAGTGCACACCTGTAATCCCAGCACTTGGGAGGCTGGATCTTTGCAAGTTTGAGACCAGCCTGGGCTACAAAGTGAGCTCAAGGCTAGCCTGAACTGCATAGCAAGACCCTGTCTCAAAAAGACCAACAAAAAAAAACAAGTAAATTTAAATCTCTACCAACATTTTTTCAATTATTTGAGAGGATGAAAAACATCATCCGAAAATAGTTCATCTTTATTTTGTACAATTTGTGCAAAGGTTTCTTCTTCATTTGCTCCTACTGCAGTATGTAAAATAGTTTACTATCTATGTATAATCTTCATCTCTATGACTAGCAACATTTTAAATTTAAAAAAAAAAAATCTATCTTCAGTGGGTACAGTGACCCATCCCTGTAAGTCCTAGCTACCCAGGAGGCAGAAGCAAGAGGATCCCTCAAGCCCAGCAGCAGTTTGAGACCATCTTGGGCAACACCGAAAAATTCAAACTCAAAAACAAAAATGTTCTCTTCCATAGGTATATTACTTACTCTGCAGAGGCTGGTAAGATGCTGGTGGGAGATATATGGGCACTGAAAACAAAGAAAGAAATTAGCTATAAAAATGCACTGAAAGCTGCTCCATTTGTATTACCCTGATACAACTAAGAGAGCATGTACCAAACTTGCATGTCTCCACTTACATGTCACTGGAAATATTTTGTGACTATGTTGGTAAAGGTTTCAATTATTAACAAAGAAAATAAATTTGAGATAACATATCACTAACAAAGGCTGTGCATGCTCGTAATCTCAGCACTTGGGAAGCTGAAGCAGGAGGATCATTGCAAGTTCGAGACCAGCCTGGCCTACAAAGTGAGCTCAAGACCGCCCTGAACTGCATAGCGAGACCCTGTCTCAAAAAGACTAAAACAAACAAACATATCACTAACAAGGCCAAAAACTTTAAAGCAAGTATCATATGTGCTAAAGTTTGACATGCATTTATCTTATTTAATAGTTGTCAATACTACTGGAGTTATAATTATTCCCCTCTTTCCACAAAGTTAAAGCTCAAAGATGTTAATTAACTTGCCCAAATGCACACAGCATAGCCTTGGGTTGGGAATCCCAAACCCCTATTAATAAAAATGTTCTACTGTCTTCTGAAACTAAAAAACTGACCAATAACGAAAATAAGTAACAGGACAGCATGAACATTTTTAACAGAATGATTCTAATTTTGTAAAACAAAATTATTTTCACAGGAAAAGACCTTTAAATAGATAAATTGGGGTGAGCGTGACATATGCAACTGCAGTACTTCAGCCTGTGATTACCTGGGGAAACACTAACCCCGTCCAAGGCTGGAGGAAAATTACTTGTACTGAATTTAAGAGCATTAGCTACTCAGGAACATAAGCTTTTAAAAATCCTCTGTCAGGGTAAGAGGAAAGGTACATTTAAATGACACTAGAGGCTGAAGGTGGGGCAGCCAAGCAAAACTGATAAGACCATTTGCGACTGAGCGTGGCAGACAAGCTGAGGCCCATCAGCCTGCTCAAGAACTTGCAGGCCAGCGCCTCTGGCAGCATGTGCCTGGTGTCTGTGGGGCACACTCTGGACATGGTCGAGGTGCAGGGAGACTGGGGTAGGGTACTGGGGAGGAGGTATGGGTGGGGCACAGCCCCTGTACAGAAATGGGGCTCATACATACAAGCTTCTGTGGAAACCCTAGAGAATCACTCTTTCAGAAGTGGGCAGGGACAGGCATGGTGGCACTCCCCTATAACCCCAGGACTCAAGGGGTTGAGGCAGGAGGATCACTGTGAGTTGAAGGCCAGCCTGGGCTATATAAACAAGTTCAAAGTCAAGGTCAGCCTGTACCACATAGTGAGACCCTGTCTCAAAATGGAAAAAAAAAGTGAGCAGAAGCTGCATCTTGTACTCCAAAGAGCCAGAGAGCCCACGGTGAGCAGCCTCCAGCCACCCCATCAAAAGCACCTATGAGAAGGTCTCTGCCCCAGTTCTGACCCTGCACTACTTTGGGGATGGGAAAGAAAAAACAGCTGCCTCAAGCTGATTTTAGCCAACACTAACATTTTATTATCAAGGATGAAACATATCCCCTGCAGTACCAGGAAGAAACTAAAGACAGATGTAGGGTTGCTCTGGAGATGACCTTTGACACACTCGCTGGCTAAAATGCACCATCACCATCTCTCACACACTTCCCCATTACACTAAAGTACTTGGCCATTCAGCCTGTCACCCTATCGGCCTGGGAAGCTAATGATGTCCTCAGTGACTCTGCCTCCTCCAAGGAAATCAGGTGACCAGCTCTCCACAGGGTCAGGCAGATTCCCACAACTTCCAAGTGAGGAGGCCACTGGTCGTACTGAGGCTATGGGAGGAGGGAGAGCAGAAGCACACCCCTCCTCAGTGCCCTGGAACACTAAGCAAGGCCTTACTGGAGACCAAAATCCAGGTCCTATGACTCTATTTGATACTTCATCCTAGTTTTGTAACCTTATTTCTCTACACAGGAAAGTGACAGCCAGAGGAGGCCTGTGGGCAGCAGACATGAGTCTTGGGGAAATTTATGTGCAGGGCTGTTTAGAACACTGGAACCAGTTTCCTTCATACATAGGAAAACAGTTCCATGAACTCTTTCTGGGCAGACTTGGGCAACAGGTTCTTTAATGCCTATCATTCAAGAGAGAAGCTGGCTGAAGGAGAGCTCCTACTGGGGTCATGAAGATCAGGATTAAAGCAGCTGGGCTGGTTGGGGCACTGTGCAACAAGCAATCAGATGTTTATTCAGCAGATGGTAACATGCTATGGGTGTTAGTGCTGCTAAGGTAATGTTCATTCCAAGAACTATCCAGTAAGGGCAAACAAATGCACTAGATTCCTAAGCGTATCTGACATCGGAACCCACAGGGAGGAGTGACCCTTGTACCACTCCTCATCTTGACTTATACCAACACCTGTAGCTGCGCCTCACCATTTTTTAAAATGCTGATTCAAGTCAGTACTATGAAGATCCTCTGAAAAAATGTGCAAATACAATCTCTAACCAACACACAGAATAATCTACCAAGTTAATATTCTTGGTATTCACTGTAGGAAACCAAATGAGTATCATTTACCATTCACCCAAAAATCTTTGGGTCTCCCTTTAAAAAGTCTATCAGCAGCAAACTGCACAAGTGCTTCATCAGACAACAGTGAGGCATCTTCTTTGGCAAACATGACCCCTCCTACCCATAAATTTCTTTTTAAACTGGTGGCTCATGCCTGTAATCTTAGTATTTGGGAGGCTGAGGCATGAAGATCATTGCAGGCTCAAGGCCAGCCTGGGCTACATAGTGAGTTCAAGGCCAGTCTGCACCACAAAGCAAGTGCTTGTCTCAAAATACCAAAAGGGTCTTTTTTACAGGGTCTCACTATGCAGTTCAGGCTGGCCTTGAGCTCACTTTGTAGCCGAGGCTGGTCTCAAACTCAGAACAATCCTCCTGCCTCAGCCTCCCTAGTGCTGGGATTATAAGCGTGGGCCACAATGCCCGGTTTGTACCAAAAAGTCTTAAACTACAAATATTATACTGGTGTTTTGTTTATTTTGTGGTGATGGGGACTGAACCCAGGGCCTTTGGACTGAGCTATATCTCCAGTTCTTTTTATTTTGAGACAGGATCTCCCTAAACTGAGTGGCCGGAATCCCAACTTGTGATATGCCTGCCTCAGCCTCCCAAATGCTGGGATTATAATAGCCGTACACCACCATGTGTGGTTTATACTAGGTTTTGATGAATCGATTATTCTCAGCTCTAAATGCCTTCATGCTGGTCCTCTCAAGAGAAGTGCTTAAGAACGTATTCATATTTAAAGAGAGTTATTTTAAACTTCATTTCTAAAATCAGAAAAGCCTGAGAAACAAACCATATATGCACACACAGAATCGTAGTGATCAGTCTGTTTCTAGTAACTTTCATGAAAGCTAAAAGTTAAAATATTTACTGATTTTTGTAGGGGAAAAAAAACCCCAAAAGATAAGTGAGTCTTTTCTAAAAACTTTTATTATCAGTTGAATATTTGCTGTAGTAATCTATTATTTGTATTATAAATTGAAACTATGAGTTGACATTTAATTATACAAGTTAGAATTTCATGTGGTGTAACCTGTTGTGCCTTCCTTAAAAATATATGCAATCTACTAAACTTGCATGACTCCTTACCTACTGAGATATTCATTTTAGTTTGAGTATTTAACTGTAATCCATGGACAATGTACTTCATACTGAATGATACAAGGGTGTTGATAAATCCAACACCTTTCTCTTCACCATGTAATTTGTGGTTTCTTTTTTTTTAATCTTTTTAATTATGCACAGGGTCTCGCTGTGCAGTTCAGGCTGGCCTTGAGCTCACTTTGTAGCCCAGGCTGGTCTCGAACTCACAATGATCCTCCTGCCTCAGCCTCTCGAGTGCTGGGATTACAGGCATGAGCCACCACGCCCAGCTTAATTCGTGGTTTCTGGTAAACATGCTTTAATCAACTTCTGAAAAATGTGCTGATTCCCAACTACTTACACTATCAATGTCTGTTACTAAAGCCACGGTTTAATTTTTGGTAGCACTCGTATCTTCTCCGTTCTTTCTCAAATGTGCCATTGTTGGTCATCTGCTTATTTTGCTAGAGTAATGTTCTCCCCTATTGTCAGATTAGAGTATCACTAACGTGCTAGTGTATACATGAGCACAAGACATTTCATAAACAATCAAACAAAGCCAGGGGTGGTAGTACATGACTGTAATCCCTGTAATCAGCACTCAGGAGGCTGAGACAGGGGGATTTTAAGAGTTTGAGGCCAGCCTGGGCTACCTAATGAGTTCAAGACCAGCCTGCACTACACTGTGAGACCCTGCCTCAAAAAGCAAAACTAAATAAAAACTAAACAAATCCTACAAAACAAAATAATCAAAGCAGCAAAAAGAATAATAATTAATCTAACCAGAAATGCAAATTTAAAGTGACAATTAAGATTCACATGCACAATTTTGCTGACACTATGAAGCTGACACTTAGATTACAAATGTATGATCTTTAACTCAGAAATTCTGTATTTGAGACTCTATTAAATGGTCCCTCAGATCTACCAGATCCACTCCTAAATATAAGGGAGGGGTTATACCACAAATTGTGTTACAACATTATTTTTTCTAATACTTTACTATAAAACTTTCAAAAATATATAAGTGTTTAAAAACTGTACAAAAGTACCTATAGAGCCAGGCATGGTAACACACACCTGTAACCCCAGCTACTCAAGAGGCTGAGAGAGGAGGATGGCAAGTTCAAAACCAGCCTGGGTAGCTTAGCAAGACTCTGTCCCAATATAAAATTCTAAAATCTAGGAGGTGAGTTTGAGGGTATAGCTCAATGGTAAAGCTTTTTCCTACCAGGGGTGGGAATGAGGGTATTTCTGAGCAAAATATTTTTTAAAATACTCCAAACAAATCTAAAAAAAAATTTTTAAAAAGACAACTCAACAGAAAATAGGCAACAGACTTGAGAGGCATTTCACAAAATG